TGACTGTTGGGTTTTACAATGCAGTGATATCTTTCACCCCTATACTTTCCTTTTTTTAAAAGTGGCAAAAGTTCCAAAAACAAAATGTTATGGCAGCCATGAAAATAAAAGATATTAAAATAGAATAAAAACAGCAAATAATTACACATTCGTTGATATGGATATGTTCATTTGTAAAAGTGCAATTTAAATGTTTGTTTTTTTTTGTGTGTGTGTGTGTGTGTGTGTGTGTGTGTGTGTGTGTGTGTGTGTGTGTGTGTGTGTGTGTGTGTGTGTGTGTGTGTGTGTGTGTGTGTGAATATTTTTTTTACACTTATTAAGTAATTATTCTGTTAGGTGGAAAGGCTTAATAGAGGTGAGGGAAATACATTAAACATGTTGAAACAATTTTGTTTCCAAATGAGTCTTTAAAATAATCACTGTTACTCTCATAGACACAATAATTCAGGTTTTACATTAACATTTACTCAGGTGTTTTCTAAAAAGACTATCGTGGAATATTCAAAGTGGAACATCACATAAATACAAATTTTAAATAAGAAATAATTTAAGGGTTTAGTTCGCCCCCAAAAATGTAAAATCTGTCATAATTTACTCACATTCAGTTGGCTCTAAACTTTTATGAATCCCTTTCTTCTGTTGAACACAAAGCAAGCTATTCTGAAGAGTTTGATGGGGCACTTACATAATGCACTTGCACTTACATAATTCTTGTTACAGATGTGTACTTTAGTGTTGTTACTAATGTCCTGTTACACATTTGAACTTAGACATACTATTCAGTGGGTTGTTAAATTTTTGTAGTTACACCAGTATTACACAAGTAAATACTATGAATCAGTGTGTACATACAATGTAGTTACATACTACTTACACATCTAGTTACTATGTAAGTTCACAGGTATAAGTGACAAGTGGGACCAAAGAAACTACTTGGAACAATCACAGGATGAGTAAATCATGAAATCTTGATATTTACATGGGCGAACTATGCCTTCAACATTTTAATTACATTTTCACACATAATATTTATGCTGAACAGTACAGTTGGAGTCAATTTTTATCACCCCTTTTAAATTTTTCTTCTTTTTTAAATATTTTCCAAATGATGTTTAACAGAGCAAGGATATCTTCTGGGGGAATAAACAAGGGAACTAATAAATCAGGGGGGCTAATAATTCTGACTTCAACTGTATATGAATTAAACATTACACTGACACACTGATCACTCCAGCATTGTATTAATAATTAAGGCACAATTACACATTTTCAAAAGCTTTTTGATAACATGTACTGTAATTGTGCCTTAAATATTAATACATTTTATACTTTTTTTTTTTTTGCTTGATTAAACTACTTGTTTAAAATTAACTAAAACAACACAACTCTTAAGATTTTATTGGGACAACTTTTAGACATTTTTTATGTTTAATCCACATAAATTTGTTAAAAGTGTTAAGTTAACTTTATCAATTTGTGTTGGGACCACATGATTGAATTGTGTGGAACCCTGAATTTTTTTTTTTTTTTTTTTTTACAGTGTATGAAGACACCAACGTTGTCAAAATACTTCCAGTTCACACAGATTCTATAAGAAACTACTAAACATGCTGCATTAAGCATTTCAGACCAGTCAGCAGCTGGTTGACACTTTGTAAACAAACATTACACGTCTGCGCACATATGCATTTACACAATCTGTTATTTTTGTTTTGGATGTCAAGCGTTCCCACATGGCTGTAAACTGAACACAGAATACATTCGCTGGTCACTTCACTTGTTTTACAAAATTGCATCTTTGTAGCTTACATAGCCTCGAGATAGTTTTGACATATTTTACGTTATCAATCCCCAAAATAATACTGTCAAATAATGGTCAAAGCACATAAAACATTTCCAACATTGTTGTGTAAACAACCTCTTAAACTTAAAATACGATACCGAGCAAAATGAGTAGGTAAACAAACTTGTTTGAATTTCATTATTTCAGCAGTCTGGAGTTCTGAGGAATAGGCAAATTCATCATCAAAAAAATTTTATTTGCTATTCTGCCCAAAAATTGAGTAAAAGTTCAAACGCAACCACTATTTTATTCTCTGCACTCTTCTTACACTGACCATTTGACTCTCAGTCTGTTCATTGCTGTCATTCAGCAGTCAAGACTCCCAAAGGAACTGTGCTAAAGAACAGGTCATCAGCAGCTGCATGACCTGGAAGTGAAATCACTTAACCAAGACCATTAAAAATACACATAGTGCTGTTCAACATTAGTATAAGCAAACACTGCTGTAAAAGAATATGCCGATCTTCTTAGGGGATTCACATGCAATAGGTTTTTGTCTCGTAGCAGAATCTTTTCTTTGATTTACTTTTTCTCCAAGCAAACTCCTAACCTGGCCATGGCAGAAATGGCTCAATATAATGGAAAAAAATAGATTGGTAGAAAAATTATATTTCTCTTTTTGCATTCTCTCACAATGTGAAGTTTCACAAACTAATTTCAAGACAGGCACCTGATATCCCCCATCTCCCTCCTCCTCTTTTCTAAATGAATCCAGCATTGGGTGTCACGGTGAATCAGTAGTTAGCACTGAGTCTCGGCTGGGCCAGCTGGCATTGCAGTGAGGAGTTTACATGTTCTTCCCATGCTCGTGTGGGTTTCCCCAGGTACTTAGGTTTCTACTCACAGTACAGTAACATGCAACATCAGTGAATTAAATAAACCAATAGAAACAGTTATGATTAACCAATGAATAGGCCAAACAAATTGAGGGAGCTCTCAAGAACTACCTGGTATCGTACCCCCTTACATGCTCATTGACCAGACGAGATACTTGGACTCAATTTTCTCCGAGTTCAGGGTACTCTCTCAGGACAGCAAGCTATCAAGCAACATCTAAGTGTGTTTTCTTGAAACATTTGCAAGAGCTATAGGAACTCTGATCACCTTTAAAACTTTTTGTACCAACTTTTGTCACAGTGCTTTTGTGGACAATGCAAAGTTTCTCTGGGAATAGGATGCGAACATTTTGGGGGAAAAAAATACAAAGATTTATATGGAAATCCAAAAGTTTTGCGAAAGAACGTAAAAAGAACAGAATATTTTTCCCCTGTTGCACTTTACAATTTTCAATAATAGTAAAAAAAAAATGAGTTAACATCTAATCTAAATAATATGTTAATAAAAACACCAAATCTATATAATTTATTAACAAACATTGTATTGTAACATATTAATCTCAGTTTCAACACTTGATAAAGCACAGTTGTATCTGATTAAAATGAGTAAAAATTAAATATTATTTATTGTTCATTATTTTTAGACCTCATGAAATAAATACTTCAAGTTAGTTTTATGAAATATAATTAAGTAATGTTTAAATAAACTTTTAAGTGTCTATTTTGCAAGGAAAGTATACTAGCACCTGTGTTCTAGTATACCTGTAAGTGTACTACTTACAGTAAATACCACTTAAAATAGTTAATTTAAGGCATAGAAAATGATGTCATCATTTACTCATCCTTTAATTATGTCGAACTTTTATGAGTCTCTTTCTTCTGTTAAACACAAAATAAGATATTCTGAAAAATGTTGGAAACCCCTAACGATTTACATAATATTTGTTTTATAGTGTGCTTCATTTTTATTCCACATGAGAAAGAAATTCATTATTTGAGTTACAAGTTAGCAAAATCTGACCATTCACATACATTGCCTTTGTTAAAAAAATAAATTAATTAATTAAAAAAAATAAAAGTAAAATAGCAGTACCACAGTTGGTACTAAACTGTGTATTAAATCTGATTATACAGAGGTAAACATTTACATAAATTGTGTGAACATAGCTACTGATAAGATTTTACTCTGACTGGATTCTTCTTTTAGACAGAGAGAAAGGGGCTAGCAGGGCTAGTGATGCATGTATGCGGAAAGGTTAATAAAGCTCAGCCCTGGAAACAGTCCCATATAGTGCGGCAGGAAAGAAAAAAATCTGTGGGAACTCAAAAGTAAGAGAAGACAGGTGGAGAAATGGAAGGTTGATGGGAGGTTGTGTGTGGGAACTTAGTGACTTGTGAGAGTGCAGAACTGACAGCAAAAGAACTGAATCTCTATCACCCCTCATCTCACCTTTTCACACACCACTTTCTCTTGTTTTGTTTTTGGTTTTTTTGACAACTGAACTTTTTCAACTTTTTCTTTTTTACTTTAACACATTCTTTAGCCATTCCTAAAAAAAACTGTCCAAAAAAATAAAAAAATTAAAAAATATTTGAATGTACCTGTACAGCTGACCACATTGCTTTTAGATGCAGCGTCCATTGACATCAGCCTGACAGAGAGGGCTAGGTGTATATTTAACCTGCATGCTCAGGTTTCTGTTAGCATGCAGCAGCCGAGACGTACTGCATAGGATCGCACAAATATGCACAAGTTTGTTTCACACATCTGCAAGTCTTTGACATTAAAAATAATCTTCAACCTAAAAAGAAAATATTTCAACAGGCAGTAGCCCAAAGTATACACAAAGTAATTGACAAGCATTAAAAAAGCACAAAGCTGAAACATAGTACACAGTTCTATGGTTCTATAAACAGGGTTTTCTTCTAATAGACACTCAATTAAGTGCAAATTCATAGAACTGACTCTAATGGAAGTTTACGAGACAGACTGTCTTTAATCAGCAGGGTGTTGACACAGGTTATGACAATTCTCATTCCTATTCATGAGTTGTGCTAGAAGAGCCCAGTGTGCTTTATGTATGTCACCACTAAGAATAGAATGGAAAATCAATTAAAGCCAAGGCTAGTGAAGTCAAAGTCTTTAAGAACTATTATTTAGAGTCATGTTTTGGGCAGGCAAGTGTATCTAGGTTAGAACAAACCAGACTGACCATAATACACCTCAGCAAGCCACCCGCCAACAGCAAGACAATGAAACGCCTCAGCACAAGACAACAAAACAACAGAAGATAGAGAGGCACAGAAAGACAGTGACTGACCAAAGTTTGCTGGTATCTCAGAGCTTTCCTTTGCGACGCATCGGCAGCCATCGACACGCTCGCACTGAGCCAAAAATAAACAAACAGTCTCACTCCTGTGTTACAGCATATGAAACTCATACTGTCCCACTTGTAACCCATTTATTCTGTTACAAAAACCACCCCGCTCAAAGCGTGAGATACACATGCTGTCTAACTCTTGTTTCAGTACCCAAAACACACATAAGAGAAAAATGCTGAGATGTGTGATTCTTTATTAGATACACTGGAACACTAATGCACAACGTCCACAAACTCCCAAAGTGTTGGCCTACCTGTAACATACTAGATCAGAAACAGAATTTAGAAGGGGGTGTCTAAGAGATCCATAAATCAAACAGAGTACAACAAATCAAAACAAACATACAGTAAAGCTAAACAAACAAACAAACAAACAAGCAGGACACTTCATCTGAACCCCACAGTCTAAACCCATAAGCAAACAGAAACATATAATCAACAAGTACAAACTATTTAATTTACAAATAATTACATTAACTAACTTAATTGACCTAAAAGAAGATTTTTTCCACTCAAAAAGAGCTTTGCACTGAAAGGATCTAAGGCTCCTTTCTGTTGTAATCAATGGAACAAAATAAATTTGCATGTCCAAGAAAATATGAGAAAAACTGCTTTAAATAAGAAGGGCAAATAAAATAAATACATTTTAAAAGAAAAAAATACCAGTGATATTGTCTATGGAACATACAGTTGAAGTCAGAATTATTAGCCCCCCTTTAATTTGTTTTCTTTTCTGTTTTTTCCCCAAATGATGTTTAACAGCACAAGGAAATTTTAACAGGATGTCTGATACTATTTTTCTTCTGGAAAGTCTTATTTGTTTTGTTTCAGCTAGAAAAAAAGCAGTTTTTAATAATAATAATAAAAAAAAACATTTTAAGGTTAAAAAAATGATTAGTCCCTTTCAGCTATATATTTTTCAATAGTCTACAGAACAAACCATCATTATACAATAACTTGCATAATTACCCTAATCTGCCCAGTTAACCGAATCAACCTAATTAGACCTTTAAATGTCACTTTTAGCTGTATAGAAGTGTCTTGAAAAATATCTAGTCGAATATTATTTACTGTCATCATGGCAAAGATAAATCAGTTATTTAAATGAGTTATTAAAACTATTATGTTTAGAAATGTGTTGAAGAAATCTTCTCTCCGTTTAAATAAAATTGCGGAAAAAATAAAACAGCAGGGCTAATAATTCTGACTTCAACTGTAGGTTAAAGCAAATCAAGAGATTCATAAAATATGCAATGATGGGTTCTGGACATACCTACATAAAAAGTTTTAAATTAATATAAGAAGTGTTGTTAAAAAATTATGTCAGCAAAATCAGTAATAGGAAAAATTTATTGAGAAATCATCTTTTTCTTACTTGAAATCAAAAACAAATAATAGAATGATAAAGAGAACCTAAACACCGACATGACTTTTTAATTATAAAGTCAATATGAGGTTTAAAGGATAATTCAAGATCTAGCCAAAAACTTTAAAAGTCAACATTAAACAACTGTGACCCATCAACAAATCTAATATCATCATCCTTCCAAAACATTACTATGAAAACTAGTTTTTGTCCAATTTGTTCAGCAAATTTGGTATTACGACAAGCTGCAATTAGAAAATTAAGTAGCACAAATGTCAAAGTGATCTATTATGTTGAATTTTAAGTTATGTTAAGCTAAAAGTACATTACTTTTCCAATCCTAAAGTACAACATTAAGATTTTTATAAAAGAATGGCCTCAAAAAAGGAATGAAATATTTTAGTCAATTATAGTTAAAATTTTTGAAATGAAAGAAACTGTTTTATAAGTTTATAACCCCTAACCCTAATCAAAAATGTTAAAGTGAACCATAAACATTTTGTGGTTTATTTTTTTATTATATATTCATATGTATAAATCATAATTTTTTATTTATTTAAATATAATATAATATTAAAGAATAGCAATAAATACCCTGATTTTATCCAAGATTTTCAAGCCCATGGGAAATCTGTAAAATGTAATCTAAAAATGCTCTTTAAATTGATTTAGAGTCACATGCATACAAAAATTTACATCAAAGGCAGAAATGTATCTCTGTAACTGTATAATGATTTTTTTAATTGATAAAATAGGATGGCAGATATGTGAGCAATTATGAATGAAATACTTTACGATGAGCAATGCATTTATTTGAGCATTTATCTTTGTTAATAATAATTCATTCAAATACAACTGTTCTTTGTTAGTTCATGTTAATGTGGATATTAAGTAGTATTAATAGATTCAACCTTGTTACAGGATATGACATTTATATACTATTACTAAAAATTGCTTATTGCTGACAATAAAAGCACTGCTAGAATATGTACCATCATATTTTTATTTTTAATTTACCATAATTTATAATTATCTTTACCTAATAAATGGGCTACCTTAGAACTAAAAACTAAAAAATCTGACAAACTTACCACAAAAAATAAACAAAACAAATATGCATAATATTCAAATATTTATTTTTAATATAGTAATTACTCCAGTTCTGGAAATATTGGGATTTTTTTTTAATGTATGAAAAATAACTTTAGTTAGTAACAACATATTAATCCTTAAAGAAATGATTGTATTTGTGGTTAATTAATTACCATTGTTATACCACTGTAAAACATACAGGACAATCCCCATAAATCAGGGGTGTCCAAACTCGGTCCTGGAGGGCTGGTGTCCTTGAGAATTTAGCTTCAACCCTATTCCAACACACCTGAACCAGCTAATCAAGCTCTTACTAGATATACTAGAAACTCCCTGGCAGGTGTGTTAAAGCTAAACTCAGCAGGACAGCGGCTCTCCAGGACCAAGTTTGGACACCCCTGCTATAAAAAAAAAACATTGTCATGTTGATAATAAATAAATAAATAGGATCAATTTAACAAATAGAAAAAATATAGACAAAATAACAGTAAAAACAGATGAGTAACAACAATTGAAAAGATAGCATCTGGCAAAGAAAGTGACTAAAACAGAGGAGTGTACTTGTCTTTTGTATTAAAAAGCCAGATCCCCTCATCTCACATTAGCAACATCCCGCAATCAGCCATTACTAGCAGCAACATGCATCTTCATCTAACCATATCTGCTGACTTGCAACACCCCTCCCAAATGGATTTCCGTTTGGCTTTCACCTCTTCTTGTTTTCATTCCTTCTAGCAAGCAGGAGTGTTTTTTGACAGGACACCACCCCCTCGGGGGCACCCATGTAACCTGATGAGTGAGTATGCATTTTGGAAGGTGGTAGAGGGGTGCAACGTGACCCAGTACAACACCATTCAATTCAGCAGAATGGAACTCAGTTGCCCCCCACAGAATACAGCACACTCTTGCTGTGATTCAACCATTAGTTGGACTACCGAACTGCTACATATAATTTTATCTCTGCCAATTTTCTCTTTCTTGTATGTCGGTTTCACAGCCTAAGGTCTTAATTAGTTTGATCAGGTGTATTTAATTAGGGTTAAAGCTAAACTGTGCAGAACTTTGACTGTCCAGGAGTCACAGTAAGTTTGAAGTGAGAAGTATAACATGAAGAACAAATTCAATTATTTACGACGGTTATTACACTGCCCCTTTAAAAATAATTCATACACTCTTGTATTTCCTTGTACAACCTTTAGCGTGCATTCACCAAAGCATCGTTTTAATATGCTTCTGCAATGTCACAACAACTATTCCTGTGCAGAGCTGCATTCATTTTTTTTACAAAGATCATGAATTGAAGATCAAAGTTTTTTCCAGCACATGCCAAAGATTTTTAATATGGTTAAGAATTGGACTGTGGTGGACAATCCAATGATGCTTCACCACTCTTACACAACTTGAGCCCAATGGATCCAGACAGACATCCAGACCATAACATTGACAGACTGTAGGCATTGGGTGGCCCTGGCTCATTATTGGACATGAAAGTGGAAGTCCTTGAGCACTAGGAAATACCTTGTGATGCAGGCATTGCTGTTCTTAGCCGAAGCCCTCCATTTAAGGAGCACATGATCTGTCACCAGGGAGAAAGACCGTCCTAGGACATAGGAGCACCTCCAGGATTGCCCACTTTACGACCAGGGCCTCCTACACGACGGCCACATACTTAGATTATGCAGAAAAAAGCTTCTGACTCATGGTTGACACTGACACTGGTTGCACCACTCCCTCTTGAACTTGTGATAAAACTGCACCCCGTCCGGAGTCGAATGTATCGGTCTAGAATGAAGGGGCAGCTGAAATCAGGTGCCTGAAGTACTGGAAAAGATGATAGGGCCTTCTTTAGCTTCTGGAATGCCTGGTCTGCTGCTGCTAGGCTCAAGAGTATCTTCTATGGCTGCCCCTTTGTCATCAGGTCTGTCAGTGGGCTGGCTGTGGATGAGAAATTGGGAATAAAACAAGGATAGTAAACCACCAACCTCAGAAAGGCACATACCTGGGATTCAGTGGTGGGTTGGGGGGTCTTCTAGAGAACTTCAATTTTAGTCTGTTGTGGCTGGATCAGCCCCTGGCCAGTGTAGTATACTAGGAACTTAGCCTCCGCAAGCCCATTATGACATTTCCAGGGATTAGCTGTGAGTCCAGCCCGCTGCAGTTACAGGAGCACCCTTCACAGATAGGATGTTCGGTCACTTTTTATTTTGATGGTCCGTTTGTTGAAATTATGTTACATTGCATTTACTTGCCAACTAATTCTCATTAGATTTTAAGTAGACTGTTAGGTTGGGGTTAGGGTTGAGGTTAGTTATGTTTAGTTAAATGCCTGTTGAATGTCTGTCTGTATTAAAAGATATTAAGCAGACAGTCTACTAATACTCAAATGGACCACCAAAGAAAAGTGTTGCCAGATGTTCCTCCCAACAATTTTGAGTGGATTACCATATTGGAACCAGTGTATGATTGATGTTGCTTGAGTAATATGTCCATCATTCTCTGGAATTTGGTTGGAGCCCCATGCAGGATAAAGGGCTGGACCTGGTAGTGCCAGTGACCCGGTGGTGAAAACGGTTTTCTCCTTGGCTCAGGGTGTTAATGAAACTTGTCAATATCCTTTTGTCAAATCTAGCATTGAGATCAACCGGGCAAAACCAAGTCTGCCCAGAAGCTTGTCCACACTGGGCATTGAGTATTATCCTTTCTCCCTGTTAAATTTGATCAAATTCATGTCCTGAAACACACACTCCTCTCCTGCGTTCACTTCTAATTCCAACGGAGGGAGTGATTCGTTTGTAAACAAATCTCCGTAATGAATGACTCGTTGACTTAGCCGACACTGATACAAGTTTCTGGCACCTCAGAATCTTGTCATTTTTTCATTTACATTGTTTGCTGATTTTATTCAACAAAATTAGCATAAGCCTTGTATTTAGTGTGAGTTGGTGCTTTGCTTTATGGTCAATGAAGTAAGAGACTGTATTATCTACAATGCTTGGGCACAAAAGTTTGTAACATACAAAACAAACATTTTTTTAAAACTTACCTATGAAATGTTCTGCCTTTGTGGCTTGTTTTCTTTGTTTGCTCATTACTACACCCATACACTGCGCTTAAGTCCAGCATCTTCACATTGGCTTTAGTCTTTATCAGTGCGGTTAAATGACTTATGTCTTGGGAGCACTGTACAAATGTGGCAGCACTATTGATGCATGCTCAGGGTACATATACGATATCTAGTGTATATAACTACGACTAATTGGGGAACAACAAATCTGAATCACCAATTGCAGCTAGATGGATTGTGTTGCCATATTTAATAAATTTATTTTAAGCTTTTTGTTGATATTTGATTCAGACTTGTACATGTTTCCATTATAAAATCAGTTCCCTCAAAAACCCTTGTTTAGAAAATGCTCCTGGGTGAAGCATTCACTGATTTTGCAATCTAAATTTGTAGGTTCGAGTGGATTGGAAAATGCATTAAGTAGTTGGCCACTTTTTACATTACAACCTGACCTTCAAACTAACTGTTCAGGTGGATATACAGTTGAAGTCAGAATTATTAACCCCCTTTATTAGCCTCCTTATTTATTTTTTTTTCTTCAATTTCTGTTTAACGGCGTGAAGATTTTTTTCAACATATTTCTAAACATAATAGTTTTAGTAACTCATTTTTAATGACCTATTTATTTTATCTTTGCCTTGATAACAGTAAATAATATTTTAATAGATATTTTTTAAGATACTTCTATACAGCTTACAGTGACATTTAAAGGCTTAACTAGGTTAATTAGGTTAACTAGGCAGGTTAGAGTAATTAGGCAAGTTATTGTATAATGATTGTTTGTTCTGTAGACAAAAAAAAATAACTCAAAGGGACTAATAATTTTGTACATTTTTTTTTTTTAATTAATAACTGCTTTTATTGTGGCAGAAATAAAACAAATAAGACTTTCTCCAGAAGAAAAAAATATAATCAGACATACTGTTAATTTCCTAGCTCTGTTAAATATCATTGGGGAACTATTTAAAAAAAGGGAAAAAATTCAAAGGGGGCTAATAATTCTGACTTTATCTGTACATGGAAAAATGTTGTCTATGTAGACAACTTAAAAATAATAATGTAATTAATCTAATCCTCCACACATTAGATACCATTTAGGCTTAGCAACATAGGGTCAAGTTAACGTTGGCTGGGTAGGTGTTTTGGGATCGGTACAATCGTTCCTGCAGCTGCAGCAGGAAAGAGTAACCTGAGCACACAGATAAAAATTAATCACCACGGAAGCTGAGGACAACTCTGAAAAACAGAACGAGTGGGAGTAAGAGACATTGAATACCAAAAACTCAATACTCAAACAAAACATTCACATGGCCATGACACTTAAACATTTAATTAAAATAAATCACACAATGTCCAGTGTTATTCAAACATACAAAAAACTGCTACATTAATCATTGAAAACAACAAAAGACAGGAAACGCACAAGTCACTGAAACTTTCTTTATTTCATGGCAGCTTTGGCATTACAAAAATACAAAAATCATAGTTTCCCTATATAGTTGATTTAAGCACCCTTCATAGATTAGTAGAGGTTACAACAGACAGTGAATAAAACCATTCAATATCAAGTGTACTAGGTACTAATCTGGCACAATGAATGCCTAGTATTACTGGAAGAGTCTTAAATAGACATCTATTTTGGATATTAACCCTTTCATAGGAAAACTAAAAACTTGTACATATTTGTTACAATAACAAACACATGTAGGGCTCACTGTAGGTGTCACAACACTTTAACCATTACTATTAAACAAACATTCCAAACTAGGTGAACACAAACAGAGGAATGCATTGATTACCTACAAAAACAGGTTTAAAAGCAAACTTGACACAGCTGAAGTCAGAATCATTAGCCCCCCTTTGAATTAAAAAAAAAAAATCTTTTAAATATTTCCCAAATTATGTTTAGCAAGCAAAGAACTTTTAACATTATGTCTAATAATATTTTTTTTATTCTGGTATAAAGCAGAGCTAGAATAAAAGCAGTTAATAAAACAACAACAAAAAAAAAACATTTAAGGTCAAAATGATTAGCCCCTTTAAGCTATATTTTTTCGATAGTCAACAGAAAAAGCCATTGTTAAACAAAAACTTGCCTAATTACTCTAACCTGCCTAGTTAACATAATTAAACTAGTCAAGGCTTTAAATGTCACTTTAAACTATAGAAGTGTCTTGAAAAATATCTAGTCAAATATTATTTACTTTCATCATGGCAAAGATAAAATAAATCAGTTACTAGAAATGAGTTATTAAAACTATTGTTTAGAAACGTGTTAAAAAAATCTTCTTTCCGTTAAACAGAAATTGGGGAAAAACATAAACGGAGGGCTAATAATTCTGACTTCAACTGTATACACTATTGCCACTTTTTATTTAAAACAACACTTTGTTTCTTGAACACCAAAAGCAGTTTTAGTTTTTAATAGCAGTTCATTAATCTACCCCAGCCCATTTATAATTTTAGTATTTGCTTAAAATGAATTTATGCCCATATTGATCTCCCAAGTCAAAGAAACATTTTAACTAGGAAAACAACAGTTTCTTGAAAGCAACTGTTTATATATATATATATATATATATATATATATATATATATATATATATATATATATATATATATGAGAGAGAAATTATGCTAAAGTGGACAAGTGTGAAACGTAGAAGAGTGTTTCTCGAATACATAGAAAATGGCTTGCTTAAATTTACAGTGTACATTCCTATGAGGAAAAATGTTAAGAAGTGCAGATCGGGAAGACTGTCTAAATATTGGAATGTCTATATAATACAAGTTGTGCTGATGAAGTGCAAAAGCTCTTTACCGCCACCTCCAGGCTTTTTTTTTTTTAAAAAAGACTATAATACTTTTTCTTTAATGTTCGTTTATCGATTTTTAGAATGTTTGAAGTAGAAAAAAAACATTGAAGGAGACAAAATCATGCTGCATAATTACATGCATAATTATAAAACACATTTTGAGAATACATGCTTTTTGACAATACCCCACATATAGTGCTTATAAAAAATATATAGTAAAAAACAAACGCACCATTTGAAATCTGGAATTTTGAAATTAAACTAATATTTTGTGGCAAGATCAAATATATTGATATGCATCATATTAATGGTTCAAAGATGGATATAGTAATAATATATTTACTGTGAGCCAGTGAGCAATTTTCAAGTTCAGAAACAGCTGCCATTGTGCAAACAGAACAACTGGAGAGAAACAGTGAATTTCATACCCCAGAACCTACAGGAACAAATAATGTAATGTACTGATGATGATTTAATGTTGCATTGCATCATGCAAAGAGCAAATCTGTTTAAATCCAGTGAAATGGTATGAAAAGGTTTAGAGTAGAACTGGCACAATACTAGTATGCATATCTTCGCATGTATCTGTGTGTTTGTGATGTGTGTCAAAGTTGGTCTGAATGTACCCTTGATTTTTTTTTTTACTTTAAAATGACTTTACAATTATAAATCAAGAAGTACAGATAAAGAAAAGAACAAATAAAAAAAAGTCTGATAAAAATATGCAGGATTCATGAAAAAATATATCTGCCAAATTTTATACAGTTGTAAAATAAAAAAACATACTGTGGCTTATTTAAACCTCAGTCTCTATTTATAAATCATGGCATTTTTTTTTTTTCACATTTATGCCTTAACTTCCATTTCACTCTTTTTAAATTTCATTCAAAAGAGCAAGGCAGGACATAGAGAGTAAAATAAAATATATTTGCCTAGCGCACTCCCAGACTTAATGTAAAAGTGATATATCTTGGCAAATCCAAAAAATCTAAAGAAACCATCACTGTACTGGGGAATGAGAAAGAGTGTACGCAGCTTATGGCAGGTAACAGATATGCACGTGTGTGCTGATCATGAGGGCAGTGAGTTCTAAGAGTGTGTGTTTAGTTGCTGGGGTAGTACTTAGGGAAGAGGTAGAGGTCTTTGCAGAGGGAACTGGTGAACTCTGACATCTCTTTACAGCGATGATGGGCTGATCCAGGTGCATATCCCTCTCTGCTTTTAATTTGCCCATTCACCTACAGAGATCCACAACGAATACCAAATCCATGTTAAGTCTTTTAAAACAACTTCATTATAATTGCTGTAAAGCACTGATCTTGTTTTTCATAGCTTTTCATTTTTGTCAGTTTATTAAACATCCCACCCCCAATTAACTATTTAGTATTTTTGCACATTATTGTATAATGAGGAATATTGAGATTCTGCTGTTGAGTTTTTCAAACACAAGCATTATACACATAAAATATCACAACATCAGATGCACAGTTATATTGAATGAAGCACATCATAAGTGGTGTGAAAAGAGGTTTGCCCCCTTACTGATTTCTCTATTTTCCCCTCATTCTTATTTAATGTTTGTCACACTTTAATGTTTCAGATCATCAAACAACTTTAAATATTAGTCAAATATTACACAAGTAAACACACATCATGCAGTTTTTTATAAAGATTTTTATCATTAAAGGAAAATAAAATCCAAAGTCCTGTATGAAAAAAAAGGTTTCAATTTCTTTAATTTCTATAGCCACAACTAAGCCTGATTACTGCCAGACCTGTTCGCAATCAGGAAACCACTTTAATACTTTTACTTTTTTGACAAAGTAAAAGGGAACCCCAAATCAGAAAAAGTTGGGAAAGTACGAAATAGGGATGCACCGATCCCATTACTGGAATCTGATATCGGTTTGATACGCTTATTTTTGCTGAATCGGGTATCGGCCAGCCGGTTCTGATCCAAATCCAATCTTGCGTGTGTTCTGTGTAATTTATTAGCCAACAAAAGCCACTAGGGTAGCCTATCATAAGGCACTAGAAAGTTGTCAAGCTGGCCTACTATATCCTAAATGTTTTGAAGCCATTCTATAGCTCAATGTGAAGCACAGATAAATATTAAAGTCGTTAGTTTCTTGTTTACTTCAGTGCTTCCCTACGACAACATGAAAAATTTCTCCAATTTTTCCTGATAATATAAGTAATTGGTGGAGAAATGCAATTAGTTTTGCCTTAAATGGGTTAATTTTGACCTGCAACATGGAGATCATTGCTAGTTTTAAATCTCTTAGACCAGCAAATTGCATTCACAACACTGAAGTAGAGAGGGTTATTACCAGCTCTTCACACACAAAGTAGGCCTACCTGAAACTTTAAATGAGAAAAGGCACAATAGTACATTGGACAGATGTATATTATTATTTTATTTAGCAGACCAGCACTGAAGAATACTGTATAAGCGCCCCCTGTTTTGAACTTCACCTCAAATATTCTTGTTTATTTTGTAGATAACTGACCATCAAAGATACATTAAAATAACTAACAAATTAAACCAAACGAGATTAGTTTTTAAAAGGTTAATTTGTCAGACAAAAAATATTTTTTTCAGACATGCTATCAGTTTCTCCATATCACTCACGGCGAGTTTAGGCAAGGGAATGTTTATCAAGTAAACTGGCCTCAGACGGTTAGGTTTAGTCTGCTTCAAACCTGCAGGAAAATATCAGGCTTTGCGGATTTTATCATCAATTGGTGTCATTAGTGGTAGCCTATTACAGATTTCAAAGAAAAATCGTAATATTAAAAAGGAAACATAAGCTAACCACAACAGATCATATTAATGACATATCGAATGCTCAAATAATGTAGCCTACAGTTTATAGCAAGCATCCTGTTTTTAGTTAGATTGTGCCGTCTGTCATATACAGTAGGCCTATAGGTCAGTTATTTTTACTAAAGAAGTTTTATTGTTTAAATTTATCACCAGAATTATATGAACTACTATGTTAATTAAAAAAAATTAAAAATGGCACAGTATGAGGAGTATTGGTCAATACTCAGAATATTGGTTTTGGGATCGGATTGGTCAAAAATAAATGACATCGGTACATCCCTAGTATGGAAAACACAAATAAAAAAAGAAAGAAGTGATTTCTAAATTTACTTCGACTTGCATTTTTATAGCAGACAATGCAACAAATATTATTTAATGTGTTTTTCAAAATAAACATGTATTCTATTCCCATTTTGGTTCTTGCAACACACTCCAAAAAAGTTATAACAGTAAAGCATTTACCACTTGAAATGTTGTCATTTCTATACACAACCCTTAAAAGATATTTAGGGACTGATGAAGCGATGAGGTGTTTCAGATGTAATTTGTCCCATTCTTTTGCAACATATTGTGCTCCAAAATCTCTGTTTACAACCCCATACCATGACAGACCCTGGCTTTTAGGCTTGTTGCTGGTAATAGTCTGGATGATCATTTTCTTCTTTTTTCCTAAGCACACAGCCTCCTTTACTTCCAAGAAATATCTGGAATACTGATTCATCTGACCATAGTACACGTTTCCACAGTAAAATGGTCCATACCAGATGCCTGTAAGACTAGAGAAGTCCACAGCACTTCTGGACACTGTTAACATAGGGCTTCCTTTTGGCACAATACAGTTTTATCTGACATTTGAGGATGTAACTACATATTGTGGCACATGACAAAGGTTTGTCAAAGCGTTTCTGAGCACATGTGGTGATATTTTTTATAGATGAATGACAATTCTTGATGCAGTGTCACCTGAGGGATCAGAGATTACTGTTGTTCAGGTCAGGCTTCCGCTTTTGTCTTTTAAGCCCTGAGATTCCTCCAGATTCCTTTAAACTTTTAAATATGTTATGTATGTTATGCACTGTGGAAGGTGAAATATCCAAATATCTTCTCATCTTTCTTTGAGGAAAATTGCTTTTAAACATTTCAATCAGTTTCTCATGTATTTGTTGGCAAACTGGCAATCCTTGGCCCATCTTTGCTCCTAAAGGACTAGATCTTCCTTGGTTTTACTTGCTTTTGTACCAAATCATACTTACAATCACCTGTTGACGTCACCTGTTTCATAACAACAACCAATTTACATGATTACTAGCTCTAAATTGATCCTATTACAAACTTATTTTGGAATATGTTGCAGAATGACAGGAAATGACAGGAAAGGAGATATATTTACAAATGAAAATAAGTTTACCAGACTAATATGAAATATTTTGTGTTCATATTGTCTACACTGAAATATAAGTCAAAGTAAATGTTAAATCACTACTTTTTTTTTAACTGCATAAATCACTACTTTTTTTTAACTGCATTTACCAACTTTTCCTGATTTGGGATTGTAGACCAAAAGATCCTCAAATGCTAGACATCATGCAGAGATACAAAGGAATTCAAACAAATGTGAAAGAAAATCTACCAGTGTGAAAAAGTTATAAAGCCATTTCTAAAGCTTCGGGACTGCAATGAACCACATTAAGAGTATTATCTACAAACTGAAAAAAACAAAGAACAGTGAAGATCCTTTCCAGGTGTGGCCAGGCGACCCAAAGAGCACAGCAACATCTTATTCAAGAGGTCACTAAAGACCCCACAACAACATCCAAATAACTGCATGCCTCACTTGCCTCAGTTAAGGTGAGTGTTGATGACTACACTTAAAGAAAGAGATTGGGCAAAATGGTTTGCATAGCCTAGTCAAAGTCCTGACCTGACTCTTGAGATGCTGTGGCATGACCTGAAAAAGTCAGTTCATGCTCGAAAACCCTTCAATGTGGCTGAATTAACAATTCTGCAAAGATGCTTGGGTAAAAAAATCATCTAGGGAGTTGTAATAAACTCAATGCAAGTTGTCAAACATGCTTGACTGAAGTTGCTGCTGGTAAGAGTAGCCTAACCAGTTATTAGGGTTTAAAGGGGAAACACTTTTTTTACACAGGATTATATTTGACTAATATTTACATTTGTTTGATGATCTGAAACAATTAAGTGTGACAAATATTAAAAAAGACATCAGTAAGGGGGCAAACACTTTTTGACACCACAGAAGATGTTTACTCTAGCTTAGATGTTTACTTATTTCAACTAATTAATAACTGATATTAATGAAAATAACCAAAATGTTTAACCTGCACAAGTATGTCTGACAAGTGAGTATTATTGGCTCTCTGTCTGATGGCAGTGTTTAATTCCTGAATGAACCAGGATCCTTTCTTGGTATTTCTCATTGCAGCAGTGCCTGAAACACAAAACCCAACACATCACCAATCTGAGGTCTTAAGAAGCAACATGATGAATGATAATAAATTTCCTATGATTAATATACAACGTGTACACACTGAAACCTTTGAGGGTTGCAAAGCCACATATCATATCGGATCTTTGAGGCAGTTTGACTCTCAGTCTCTCTCTCTCTTTCTCCTCCTTTTTCTCTCTGTTGTCTCTCTCTCCCTCTCTCCCAGCATCCCTCTGTTCACAGCCAGGAGACTGTGTCCGTTCCTGGCCATCCAACTGGTCCACGCCATTATCCATCTCCTCTGAAACATGAACAAAAACTTGTTTGCTTAACTGTTTTAACTCCATTCAAGCTTTTGTTTTTTTTTTATTTCTTTATTTCATTGTTAAATTAAAATACAAAGTGTACAATAACCAAAACCATATATTATATTATTATATATTGTTTTTCAATTGGTAAGTCCTGACTTAAAGTTACTTTTATTCCACCAGTAAGTTTTAAGAAGCATTATTGTAGACCTTGTGGAAAACGTATATATTTCTCAATTTGTATTTACCTTTGAAAAAAAAAGTGGCATGTATAAAATTAAACATACCAATTGCAAACTATTACAGTCTAAGGGAAAATGTAAAGTTCTATGCCATTTGAAATAGTTAGCTATAGGAATAGGAAGCTATTCTAAGGCATCTGAAACACCCTGATACATTAAGAACAGCTGTTTTAATGAACTCAAGTGAAAAACAGATCTCTGCTGTTGGTTTGTGAGAAGTCATGGCTACGACAAAGGAGCTCACTGAGGACCTGCGGCAGCACATTGTGGCTGCTCAGAGTTTAGGTAAGGAAACAACAATATATAATTTTTTTATTGTTCCAGATGGTACAGTACAAAATATTATTCAAAACATTTATCGCAAAATCAAGCAAAGAGCGCAAAATTTTACGAATCTTGCATTTTTTCTGAAATGCTGTATATTTTCTGCAAATTCAGGGATCTAGACATTTTCTATGATATTCATTTAAAAAAAAAAGCCATGTGGAAACAAACAGCCTTCCATAGTAGGTGGCAGAATATACCTACAGTATCTATTAGGGTTGGGTGATGTTGACCATTTTGGCATCATACGATGTCTAATGTGAAACATCGCTATGGACGATGGCATCGTCGTAGTAGGCAGGGGATGGAGGTCATTGTTAAATATCAATTAATTCACAACTAATTAATTAATTGTAGCCTACCGTATTCAGGACCTGACCCACATAGTCTTTGCTTTACCCATAACCAAACCATAAATAAATATAGTTCCACACAAATGACCACCTGTCAATCACTTTTTTTTTTTTTTTCCGCAGGACTCTGGCATGAATAGGCTGTGTCATTATAATGGCTTTTTCCCACAGCTGGTGAAGATGAGAGTTTGTTTGGAGTTCAATGTAATTTGTATTGTAATTGATTATAACTTTTTTATTTTATTATTATTATGAGGAAATAACAACAAGCAAAGATGCTAGGCCTTGACCGTTTTGAGTCAGTGATGGAAAGAGTACTGAAAATCCTACTCAAGTAAAAGTACCATTACTTGCCTAAAAATGCAGTGCAAGAAGAGTAAAAGTATCTGTTGTAAATATTACTCAAAGTAGGAGTAAAAAGTAGTCGTTTCAAGTACTCAAGAGTAGTGAGTATTACGCTGTAAAAAGCTGATGCATTTACAAGTAATTTGTACATGTGTGTGTAAACGTAACATTCTGTAGTGCATCGAGTTATTGCCCAGCAGGCACACAATGTCATAAGAAGTTAATATTAGGTTAGATTTAGGTTGTGATGTCAGGTGACCAAAATTCAATGTTTAACCAGCGTCTAGAGACAACATTGTTTCAACATTGGTCAAATGGCATTGATATTTGGTCGATTTTAGGTTGTTAGAAAGTGACCAAAATCCAATGACGAGCCAACATCTTAAACCAACGTCATTTGTCAAATACTGATAATATTTATTTATTCATCAGGTATGGCAACCAAAATCCAACGTCTGATAGACGTTGTAGTGGTAACGTCCACACAACGACAAGATGTAACATCATTAGACGTTGATATTTGGTTGGTTGTAGGTTGGACATTGACAATGGCGTGACATTGAGTTCTGACGTCAACCCGATTTTCATTTCTAAACATAATGCAATGTTCCCACGACGTTGGGGTACGATGTCAATCTGACATCATGTTGACGTCTTGTGTCTGCTGAGTGTTTAAGGCCATTTCAGTCATCATACAATAACAGGGTATATAAAGAAAATGTAGGACCACCCACCTAAAATTTATGAGCAGTGAGCACCACTGCAAATCGTATATTAAGGAATTTACTGCATTTGAAAACAACATTAATTAGCATTAACAAAAACCAGAAACAACTATCTAACTAACTCTGTGATGACTAACTAATATTTGTGCAATAACTCCAAAACAAAGGTCTAATGATTATCAAATATTAATGATGATGATGATGACAACGACAAAAATACTAACAAGGAATTACATTTCTCATTATTATGCTGCCTTAAATGTGCTTGAATGTGAGTTATCTGCTATAAAAAGTCTGACTAATTACTTTATAAAAAAATTAATTTATGGTTTGCACCAAACAAAAGTGAAGCATTGCAGTAAGAAATGTTTATTTTGCATTATTGTTTTTATATGCGTATCAAATTAATAAATAATATTTCTGCTACAAAACAAATGAAAGACTATAATAAATCATTCAAGGCTCAAAGCTGCAAAGCAGTCAACAATAATTAAATAGAAAAATAATTTACACCTCAAAAAAAGAATGGACAAAAGTAAGAATAGTCTCACTTCTATCACTCTTTAAAAGTTTTGGTTTTTGGTTTGTGTCATCTTAAATTCTCATTTACAGTTTTCTGTGTTTGTGGGAAACAAGCAGGCGAGTCAGCCGACCGGGGCAGAGCAGGATTGTCGCGATGACCACCGGCGCATTACCGCTCTTTGTTAAGAGCCGCAGATTAAGTTTAAACTTAGTAAAGTTTAAGACATCCTAAGTCTCCCGAAGTTGAGTTGCAGGAGTATCCCGCAAAGCATCGAGACTCCAGGATGCCCGCAAATGAATGATAATCTCCCGAAAATCGCGCGTCTCCCACCTGGTCATTAAATAAGTCATACACACCCCTCTCCACCGCATCTCTCCCAGCTCTTCACGTATATCGCGAGCAACTCACTCCCACCACTCTTCAGGTATGTCGCGCGCAACTCACGCCCCACCGCTCTTCAGATATGTCGCTCGCTGTTGAGGCGAGATTGCCTATATGGTTGGCAGCAAGACAGGATTTCTTTCAGCACACGCGTGAACACCACCTCACATGAGAGCGCTAAGGTCCTATTCTCAACATATGAATAAATCCACTCAAAATTTAGAATAAAGGCCAGAACTTGACACAAATTGAAAATTTATATAAAAAAAACTGGGCTCGAAAATTTTATACCTTGTCAGATGACGTTTATTACTTTTTAATGGCTTTAATTTTCACTAATTTCATTTACTACCTTTTACAACCCTGCGGACACCCTGAATAAACATCCATCATCTTCTCATCAGTGACATGCATCTGACAAACAGTCTCTGGGTCAATGCGTGTAAAAATTCTGGAAATCTTCTTGGACACTTTTAATGCTTTCAGTCAGTTGCTGCATTTATAAATGCAACGTCTTGAGGTAGCTCATTATGATGCGATGTACCTTCACAGGACAGATTTTTCTAATCCCCATAGACAAGAAAAAAGTAGTGACTGCAGGTTGAAGGAAAGTAGTAGAATAAAAGTACTGATACAGCACTAAAATGTACTCAAGAAAAAGTACACATTTATAAATCTACTTAGTAAATTATAATTTTTGAGAAAAACTCATCAAGTAATTTCAGTAATTTGAGTATTTGTAATTTGTTTCTTTACAACGGGAATACACCTTGATATTTATTTATTTTTTATTATGTGACAGGGAAAGTTGTCCCAAATAGAGCATCTTCATATACATATATTATTATTATTGTTTAAATATTATCTATATTATTGTTTAAAAAAATTTAATTACCCCCCAAAAAAAGGGTACTTTTACTTCAGGAGAAAAAAAGGACATTCGTTCAGTGACAACTTGTGACATGGTCCCTATATCGTATACAAGTATTTTGAATATTCGGTCTGAAAACTTAAAAACACCATATTTTTTTGACTGTGAACAATCTTGTGCTTTGATAGTCATTAGCTGCTAATATGATTTCACTATTTAGATTTTAGCAAAGAATAGCTTTCTGAAATTGTATTATTAAAGAGAAAGTCTAAATATATTAATTTAAGACCAACTTTACCTCAATCCCCCTGCTATCATGATTTTTTATTGTTTATAGATTTTCATTATTCATATTGAAATATATAGATTTTTTAAATTACATTTCATTTTATTTTTAGCTAAAGTTTGTAGCTTTTTACATGGTTTTGCCATTACTTAATCATCTTTTCATTAAGTTTACTTTATTCTACTTTTAGTAATTTTAGTACTTCAGGTTATTTTATTTTAATATCGAAAGCAACATTCTGAAAAGTGAATATGTATTATACGCATTTTGATAAACAACATTTCTTTTAAAATTATTAATGGAAATATTTCAATAAAAAAATTTAACTTTAAATTTGAGTAACAATAGCAACATTCAGGCAAGTGTATTCAAACGATTGTAGTAAAAATACATTCAAAAGGTTTATAACTGATACTCTCACCTCCACGACAGGCCTGAATAAAAAACATCTTTGGCTTATTCTGGAGCAAGGGGCAGCGGGCGTTATCAAAAACCTCAAACACCCAGTCCAACTGAAAGATAGAGAGATGTATCAAGGTAAATACAAATGCATCTAAAAGAAACTTATAGATAAATGCCTCACTTTGTGTTTAACTATAAATTAGCTTTTTACCTCCAGCAGCTGTCCATCAGTGCCGTAAACAGATCCCTCAACACCATGAGACAGTAAACACACAACAGCACAGTCATATGCTGCATGCTCCTGCTGCTGGGCAAACTGCTCTAGGCACCTGCGCATTGCCTAAAATCATGCATGTAAACTCATGTAAAAAAAAAAATATATATATATAGCATGCTTTAAAGGGCACACTGCATCATGATTCATGTCTAACTCACCTCTGCTGTTAGATCTCTGTGCAGACTGACTTTAAAGTCCAGCTCTGTGAAAAGTCTCCTTAGCGTCTCCTCATCCACCTCTCCTCCCCTTCGAATGTCCAAATCAGTGTTTGCTGAGTCGAACCTCACATTACTCAGCACCAGGGCCAGTCCTCGCGGGCAGGAGCGCATCGGGTAAGCCTGAAAGATAACACAATTGCATTAAGGTTCACAAAATGTAATAAAAAGGAATATTAAGACCTATATCACAACATTAAAAACATGCATACACAAAAAAAATGCAGAAATCACAAAATTAGTGGCAAAAAAACATTATTCAAATTGAACAGTACTAAAGACAGGTTAGATGCACCATTGAACTACAGGAAAAAAAACAACAAACTCCTTAAGGCTGAAGCACCTCTGCTCACTGCACACGCACCTCAAACTGACAAATTATTTTAGTCCAAATAAACTTATTTTTTATTTATTTTTTAATTTTAATGATTATAAAGATTTTTATAACCATTCAAGTTTTTTTTAATCCAACTTTGATGCATCACTTGCTTTTGTGTATCTCGGACAGTTTTACCTCTTAAAGCTAAATACTAATGACTACAGAACATGGGTTGTTCTTTTTTTATTTAGCCCACTCAACAATTGACACATTACTGGCTGGCTAGTTTGTATGCTCTACTTATAAGCTAGAAAGGCAATAATGGTCCAACATTTCTGACCATAATCATCAATAGTGTGACATCTTTACCCTCTCGCTCTCTCAGTCTGTGGTTCCCACATGCTTTAAGACAACTACTATTGTGCCCATGCCAAAATCAGCTAAAACCACATGCTTAAATGACTGATTGCTCTGACACCCATCTTCAGCAAGTGCTTTGAGAAGCTGATTAAAAAGCACATCTGCCCTGTACTGCCCGCTCACACTGATCCTCTGCAATTTGCATAAAGGAATAATCGCTCCACTGATGATGCAATTGCTTTCACCTTGCACACTGCTCTGTCTCACCTTGAAAACAAAAACACGTTTGTGAGAATGCTGTTTGTGGACTACAGTTCAGCATTCAACACCATAGTGCCTGCCAAGCTGGTGGTGAAGCTCCAGGCTCTGGGTCTCCACAGCTCATTAGCCCCTTTCACACAGTGATACCGGCAAATATCCGGAAAATTTCCGGAACGACTTTACCGGTAAATTCAAAAAAGCGATGTTCACACAGGCAAGGACGTTACGGAATTTTTCCGGAAAAGAGCATTCACACATCCATTCCAAAATACCGGTAAATTCTGACATCATTAACCAGAAATGAGCTCTAAACGGCTGCGCTTTTATTTGTAAACATTTGACTAAATTACAAACTCTGTGGATGATCAATATTATAAACAACTTTCGCAGGATCACTTTGCATGTCGAGATGTTCATAATATGTGCGTGTGCAGGAGCTCACAGGCTGTTTCATGGGCACACGCAAAGCTTGAAGGTAAACAAACAACGGCTTATCATAAGCATCTCATCAATGATTATTTACACAGTTGCCATTAAGAAGAACACGTGATCTGACTAACTTCTTGCAGCTAAATGTGTCTGGAAAAATATTCAAAGGCTTTTATTCTCATAAACCGCGCGGACGTAAATGCGTCTGACTGTTGTGATTGGCTAAAGCAGACGTCTTACGTCAGCACGTTCTAGACGTGCACGCGCTTATTCCGGAAATCTTCCTTCTGCATTCACACAGCGCAGCATTCTGGCAAATTGCCGGTAATGTTACAACTTCTCTTTCCGGAAAATAGCCAGAACGAATTTACCGGTATTTTTAAAAAGGAGCTGTTCACACATACAACCTTTCCGGAAAATTGCCGGTAATTTTCCCGAAAGGTCTGTATGTGTGAAAGGGGCTATTGTGCAACTGGATCCTGGACTTCCTGTCAGGCAGACGCCAGGTGTTCACAATGAACCACATTACATTATCTACACTGATCCTCCACACTGGTGCTCCACAGGGCTGTGTTCTCAACCCACTCCTGTACTTCCTTTACACACATGACTGTACAGCCAAACACATCTCCAACGTCATTGTTCAATTTGCTGACAACACAACGGTGGTGGGCCTAATCACCGATAATGATGAGACAGCCTACAGAGAGGAGGTGCACACTCTGACACAGTGGTGTGAGGAAAGCCACCTCTCACTCAACATCAGCAAAACCAAGGAGCTGGTGGTGGATTTCAGGAGAGAGAAGAGAGAACATACCCCCATCACCATCAACGGGACACCAGTGGAGCGAGTCAGCAGTTTCAAGTTTTTTCGAGTACACATCGCTGACAATTTGACATGGACTGACCACACAGACGCAGTGCTGAGGAAGGCACAACAATTCCTCTTCTTCCTCAGGCGTCTCAGGAGGTTTGGAATGAGCCCCCACATTCTCAGCTCGTTCTACACCTGCACTGTGGAGAGCATCCTGTCTGGCTGTATCACCACCTGGTGTGGAAATAGCACCAGCAGCAATCGCAAAGGCCTACATAGGATTGTGCGAACTGCTGGACGCGTAGTAGGAGGTAAGCTTCCCTCCCTCCAGGACATCTACACCAGGCGGTGCATGAGGAAAGCCAAGAGAATTATCAGTGACTTCAGCAACCCAAGACATAGATTTTTCTCTCTGCTACCCTCAGGCAGACAGTTCCGCAGCATCCGACACACTAGCCGGCAGAAGGAAAGTTTCTTTCCCCAGATTATCAGGCTAATGAAAACTTAACACACCCCACACAGACTCTTTCATACCCCTCACTGCACATCATCAATATGTAGCATGCACTGCACTTTAAAAAATCCATACTTGAAACAATACTGCCTACAACTATGTGGACACCTATTCATTGTACAGAATCACTGTCAATTTCACATTGTCATTGTATTTGCACTGTCATTTTATTTGCACTGTCCTTTTGTTTGCGCTATCTGTATTTTTTACTGTCTGGAGCCAGAACCTAAGCTTTTCACTCATCATAGCACACGTGCTGCTGATGATGTGACAATAAAAGTGATTTGATTTGAATAAAGCCTAGTAAAACAGGATATTAGTATATTGTAAACCGATTTTAAACCGGTTCTAATATTCTTTTCCAGTTATCAAAGAAATAATGTTCCTTAATTATAATTTTGTAACTATTTAATTGTTTTAAATTAAAAGGGCACCTATGGTAAGAATTCTATTTTTCATGCTGTTTTGACAGACATGTGTGCAAGTACAGTATAGTGTAAAGACCATCCTATTGGGGTGATATAAACACACCCAGTCCTTTTTTTCAATTTAAGAACATAAAAACCAATTGGAGCGGTTTTCAGACTGACCGCAACTAGACGTAGGAGTGCGGCCAATCCACCCATCGAATAGATTGACAGCTGCGTATTAACATATACCAGTATTCACATGTATAATCATACCAACAAGACAGGACGTGCGAAAAGCAACCCAGAATAAAAGGTCTGTTTAGTTTGCTAGGATCATCAATCATCATCAAATGTGATCAAGAGTGAGTTTTACAAGTTTAACACATGTTTTTAACAGTGCATGTGTGTAATGAATTACAGCAACTTACTTAAGCTTTACTTTATCATCACAGCCGCATGTCAGTACAATTATGAAAGTAGAAGATTTAATCCCAGTGTGTGGGCATTAAATCAGGTTTATTTTGTACATTAACATAACAGATATCCATACAGCAGTGGAGATTAACATGTATGCTGTCACATTTGCGTGCAAAAAAAAAAAATGTATATACAGTATGTTATATACACACTGTGTGTGTTTGTTGCAGCCGAGGGAGGAGATTAAGGCACGCAGAAAGACACGTAAACTAAGGGTGGGAAGGACTAGCCTTAAAGGCGCAGAACAACACAATTGGTTCGCTGATGCTAATAGGTATAAAATAGAATCTTATAAAAGGTGTAATAAAAAATCTGATGGGTGTTTTAAGCTGAAACTTTACAGACTCATTCTGGAGAGACAAAAGACATTAAATTTGAAAAAAGGAGTAACCTAGGTGCCCTTTAAAAATTGTAACGTATACATCAGTGTAAAACCTATAAATGCAGAGTTTACAATTACAGAATTATATATTCTGTAATTGTGTACCTGGGTCACTTTTGCCATGACCTCTTTTGACTTTAACAAACTTATCCCACAGGTTTTTCCAAACTTTTTAACGAATAAAATCACTTACTTAACATAAATAGCCTCATTATTTATTGATACGATTTATGTATTAGGAAATTAAATTTAAGATTTATTATTTGTAAGGAAATGAATAAAACCCTACTTCAATGACAATATTAATAACATTAATGATGATGATGATGATGATGATTATTATTATTATTTTTATTATTATACGTAGGATATTGTTTATTTATTTTTATTTTTTGAAAAGTCTACTTTTGACAATTTGAAACATGCAAACCACTGCAGAAATGTTCTAACCAATAGGCCCATGTCATATACTGTACAGAATTTATATATAATGTACTATAAAATAAATACATTAACGTTTGCGGTGTTTTTTTGTTTTCACAAGCTTTGGAGACGTAACGAATTCCACTTTTAAATAATAGGTCACCTATAGCTTTCTTCATGAGGCTGTGTTCAAAATGACATCAATGTTTTCAAAGTGCAGTGCGAAGGGAGCACAATCGTAAACATAAAGATCACTAAAACTGAACTGTAAAAATAAGCAAATTACAACTAAGAAATTTTAATGACTAAGACGTTTATGCTTTTTTTTATTTTTAATCAGTTCAAGTTTAAATCTTAGTATGTTCTGAATGAATATGGCATAGGGCAAAAGACTCAAAACATTTTGTGCAGTCCGCCAGTCGGAATCATGACACACGCACCCAAAGCAAAGCTCCGCAAACTCTGCGATGACGTCACATTCGCCACGCGCAGTTCAATAACAGAAAGCTGATTAGCTATTGCATGTTGGCCTCATTTGTAGCTGCAATTACTGCAAATTACATTTAGACTAGCGAAATAAAGAACTACAACACCACAAGCACCAAGCAACAACAACAAAAAAGTATTTATATGAGCATTAGATGTAGCGTTACATGGACATCAGTAAAATAAGGACATGTGCAAAAATATCTAAGACCTACAACAGCGAATTTAAGACTTTAAGGCCTAAAATTTGATTTTTAAATTTGAGACTTTTTAAGACCCCGCTGAAACCCTGTTGTACCTGTGGTCTGTGGGACTGGTAAAATTCTGGTGTGCAGGGAAGTACAGCTGTAGTCACAGGAGAGTCAGCATCCAAACACATCTCCATTGACTCTAAAAGATAAAACAATAAATCACTTTTAGCTCAAAAATATTAGCCTTTTTACACAAGTTTTTGCTGCCAAATTACAATGTAACGTGAATGTCAAGTAAAACTATTAAATACTTAGCTAAAACTTTTTTCAATTTTTCTGTAATTAATACTAAAATGAAGCTGAAAAACATATATGAGATAAACACCTTAAAGGTACTTACCCACCAATCGGGTAAATATGCTGCTGTATAGAGATGCATTATAGCTACTGTACAAAATAAACCTGATTTAAAGTGCAGAAACTGGGACACCTGTTGTGTGATTGAAGTGTCCTTGTTTATAGTTGTGTACACTAAATGTAGCTGTGCACATTCCAGAAGTTATGAATTACGTAGCACAAAAAGTAAAGTTACAAAATAGTGATGGGTGGAGGAAAACTAATCACTGTGAATTGGATCCTAGTTTAACAGCATGAAACTTAAAAAAAGATAATTGTTGTGCTTATATCACTCCAATATTACTGTTATTACACATCTCTGTCCAAATAGTTTCCAAAAGTTGATATTGCAATGATGTTGATGTTGCATAATAGGTGCCCTTTAAACAATAACTAGAGTTCAACTGAATAAAGACATCTGAGAATTAAAAGAGAATTCAATTCATAGAAGTAGATTGCAAGTAAACTGAAATATATAAACTTCAGTTGTACTATAACCAAACTAAATGCATACAAAATTACTAAAACTGTAATTAATAAAAAAAAAATAGTGTATGTATGTATGTATGTAAGTTGAAGTCAGAATTATTAGACCCCTTTGATTTTTTTTTTCCTTTTAAATATTTCCCAAATGATGTTTAACAAAGCAAGGAAATTTTCAAAATGTCTAATATTTTTGTCTTCTAGAGAAAGTCTTATTTGTTTCATTTCAGCTAGAATAAAAGCCATTACTATTTTTTTTTAAAAAAAAACATTTTAAGGACAAAATTATTAGCCCCTTTAAGCTAATTTTTTTTCGATAGTCTACAGAACAAACCATCGTTATACAATAACTTTACTAATTACCCTAACCTGCCTAGCTAATCTAATTAACCCAGTTAAGCCTTTAAATGTCACTTTAAGCTGTATAGAAGTATCTGAAAAATATAAAGTCAAATATTATGTACTGTCATCATGGCAAAGATAAAATAAATCAGTTATAAAAAATGAGTTATTAAAAATATTATGTTTAGAAATGTGTTGAAAAAATCTTAAACAGAAATTGGGAAAAAATAAAGGGGGTGGAGGGGTTTGAGGCAAATAATTCTGGCTTTAACTGTATATCTGGACTGACTTGCAAAAAATGCATTCTACCTACAACATCCATAGTGACATTGTGCATGCATGCAATTGACATTTCTGATGAGATTTCTCATTTTGGCCAAGACATATTTTTAACCACACTAGAGTCAAAATAAAGAGTGACACTTTACAATAAGGTTCATTAGTTAATGTTAAGTAATTCATTTACTAACATGAACAAACAATGAACAATACATTTATTACAGCATTTATTAATGTTAATAAACATTAGTTAATAAAAATACAGTTGTTCATTGTTAGTTCATGTTAACTCATGGTGCATTAACTAATGGTAACAAGCATGGACTTAAATGTTAATAATGCATTAGTAAATGTTCAATTATGATTAAGAAATTCTGTACAAGTGTTGTTCATGATTAGTTCATGTTAGTAAATGTATTAACTAATGAACCTTATTGTAAAGTGTTACCAAATAAAAACTGACAATATACTGAAAAACAAAAAGTAAAAATGGTTTCAAGATAGCAATAAATAGCTTTTTGTATAAATTTGACTCAATTTATATCAGTTTGAAATTTTTTGTATTATTTAAAATATTTTTTTATTTTTTTTGCAAGTGCAATAGGGTATACATGAGTTGTATTCATGCTAAAACTAAAGTACACTTTAGGCTTTATGCACAAACCATACTAAAGTACCAACCATGAGTCCGGGGTCTTTTTGCAGGTGTGACACATTCCTGAGTTGGAAGAGAAAGCGAGGGTTCTGAAAAGCATTTCTGTAAAGATAAAAAGAATTATATAAAAAAAAAAAAAAAAAAAAAAAAACATATACACATACACATATACACATACACATGTATATATATATATATATATATATATATATATATATATATATATATATATATATATATATATATATATATATATATATACACATATATATATATACACACATATATATATATACACATATATATATTCTGCGATTGTCTACAGAACAAAATTTAAATATGGTAATTTTATTACTGCATATTTCAGGGGAGAGTTTGTACTGACTGTTTTTTTTATAAAAGAAGCTCTAAAGTAGGGTGTGGTACGCTGGTGCACAATAATGAAGTTGCACTGTAATTCCTTCAGTCTTCATGTCTCTACCTGGCTGTTATTCCACTGAACCTGCTCTGACCTCTGTGGGTGGCTTCATTCTATACATCGTGATTGGTATAAGACTGATCACACAAATCTTCTAATATAAATAAAAATGCATACATGTTATGAGAACAATCTTTATCTTGGTTAAGATAAGGTTAAATGCTGAAAAAAATTATACATTTGGAAAACTATTCAAAACTTTCAGTCTAAAGAAAAAAAAAAACACTATTATTTTTAAATGAAGTGCAAGTAAATAACTAAATAAAGAAACAGTTAAAAAAAATGACTGACAATCAAGTTGTTTCCAACTTTTAGAAGTTTCCTTTTTCTGTTGAACAAAAAAATAAGATATTTTAAAGAATGTTGGAAACTGGTAGATATTGACATCCATATTAAGAAAAAAAAATTATATATATATATATATATATATATATATATATATATATATATATATATATATATATATATATATATATATATATATATATATAAATTTTCTTAATATATATGTGAAAATAAATGGTTACTGGTTTCCAACATTCTTTAGAATATCTTCTTTCGTCCCCAGCAGATGAAAGAAATTCTGATCTGGAACTAATGAAAGATGAGTAATGTCTGACTTTTATAATTTATAATTTATTAATGACTAATGAAATTGTGAATTATGAATGAATTAGGGTGAACTTTTCCTCAAAGGGCAAAAAGAGTTTTGAAGCAAATAAAGCACATTTGTTATATTCCGAGTTTTTGTTAGATGTACTGTTAGTGTTTTTTTCCAATAGCTCACTCTGTGATCATCACCGCAACCTCTTTTAGAAACCTCAAAAGTCAGCCAAGGTGGGTGTGATCCTCAAGTGCAGACACCCACTCACATCTTTCTCAGTGAAGTCCATGAGCAGTTTGCAGAGGTGATGTTGCTCAGTCTCCTTAAGAGCAGAACAGAAGGTGCTAAATGCCCGAGGGCCACGTTTAGGCAAAAGAAACAACAATTGATGACTCCTGCCCTGGGATGTTGGTTTAGCCTAAAAAAAAAATTCAAAATAATAATATAAGGTAAAAATAATCAAAGCATTATTTATGCTTTCATACAGCCTTCATATTTATGCATACAGCTCTTAAGACACACAATTTAATGAAAATAAAATGATAACAATAAAATAAAAACCTAAATAATAAAATATTAATTAACATTAAATAACATAATAAACATCAGGGGTGCACATAAAAGGTATGCAGGTGCACATGCAAAATTAAAATCAATAATGGGAACCAAAACAGTAGTAAGTTTAAAAAAAAAAAAAAAAAAAAAAAAGTACTTTTGTCTACCAGTGCTGTTGCAATTTCAGAACCTAGTTATCCACAAATCTTTACTGCAAAATCTGAAATTTTCCCATGCATTACTGGTTTTCCTGTTGCACTCAAAGAACAACCAAATGACCGGAGAATGACCTTAAGGTTAACGTTCTCCAATTTTCAGGAGGTAGAATATTGACTATGACTATGATAATCATCCTGACTCTACAAACCTCAAATCTGTGCTTTGCAGTCAGAAATAATGTGCACCTAGCAGAGAAATTGGACCTGATAAACTTACTCTTCACTCTTAATAGGTCGACCTTTGGCCAGCACCCAATTTTTAGCCAGCACCCAGCAATGAACAGTTGTATTGCTTGATTAAATATGGTGTATGGATGATTATTGGTGCTTTTTCTTGACAATTATCATCACACTTGTCTCTCTTGCATAAACACAAATCATACTAAAACCTTTTTGGTATGCTGAAATATTTTAAATTTGGAGCATACCAAAACAGCCAGTAAGATTTAGTTCTTTTACACTACAACCAGTTGAATACATTTAGAATCAAATGGTGCGGGAAATAATGTATAGATTAATGCAACTCTGCCATGCTTGTGGCTCAGAGAAAGAATAGGACATAAAGTTGGTTTCTGTGTGCAGAAACAGATTTTACAATGGTGTGTTTTCCATATTGCCAATCATGGGTTTACTAAAGCACTCTGACCACAATCTTGAGAAATGTGCTAAACGCTGATCGCATAGTCCAGCAAATAAAAATCAGCAATATATGCAAATTACATATTTAAAATATAAGATGAATTTTAGATTTTAAAGTTATAAAAATGTCGTACATATACATATATTTCAATGTCGTGAAGCAAGTTGTACATATACATATACATATATTTCAAAATATGGGAAATATAACAGCAAGTGGGTGGCTGTGCCCTGTGTGAAGATCAGTCCAAAACATTAAACACCTAATTATTTAATTATATCGCTATAAAAAATGTATTGATGCTCATGTTGACCATTAAACAGTTAACCAAAAGGATGCATTTTTAGCCGGCAGCTAGCCCACTGCCACTCTCTGCTCAATCACATGGTCACATGGTCAATGCTCAATCTGCTCTCTGCTCAATCACATGGTCACCCACTGAAGATAAGGAGGGCTGTGCCAGGTTCGTACCTGGATGAGAGACCACTTGGGAAAGCTAGGTTGCTGCCGGATGTGGTGTTAGTGAGACCAGCATGAAGCGCTGAACCTGCGGTCTGTGTGGGTCCTAATGCCCCAGTATATTGATAAGGACTCTATACTGCCCAGTGAGCACCTTCTTTCGGATAAGACGTTAAACTGAGGTCCTGACTCTCTGTGGTCATGAAAAAAGTAGGGGTTTAACCTCCTGGCCAAATCATGGCCTCCTAACCATTCGCTTCATCATGCTGTCTCCTCTCCACCAATCAGCTGGTGTGTGGTCCAGGAGGATGCTGCACACAGTTGGTGGATGAGGAGATCTCCCCCATTGTGAAAAGTGCTTTGAGCATCTAGAAAAGCGTTATATAAATGTAAGGAATTATTATCTATCATTATTATTAATGGTCTCAGTTAAATTGTTATTTTATTTAGGTTTTTATTTTTATTATTTGCTGCATAAATGTGCAACACATACAGTATTTGTTAATTCGCATGACGTTACACATACAAGCACACATGCCTACATATGTATTTTGCAAAAGAAGCTAAATTAAGAGAATGAAATATAAATATCGCTAGTCACAGTTTGACAAAAAAGTTCATGGCTAAACCAATACTGATGGTGAATGCCCATTTCCTGGATCTGTGATATGCATGTGCTCTGCTTTGGAAAAGGCCACAAGTCGAAATATCTCGTTTTTTTTCTCGCTCCATGCATGCTGAGGCACTGGACCATCATAACAACAACAGGAAAAGTTAATGATATTTTAATGATTTAGCAAACCACCAACCTTTTTTTGTTTGGAGAACTACAGTCATTAATAGTCCTTATAAAAAATCCATTCATAAAATGAGCCTACATAATCTAAACAAATCCTGATTAACTGATTTTTGCATATGATAACTCCACACAACAGACATTCATTTTTACTATATACTACATAAATATTATGTCAAGTAATGCAATTTTTGTCAACTAAAATATTACCAAAGCATCAGATTCATTTTTCCATTATAATTTCTGAATTACAACCAAATAGTCACAAAAGTACTGGGATAACAGTTATTTAATATGAACAGTGCATCCAGAAAGTATTCATACGGTAGCGCTTCACTTTTTTTTTTCCTCACAGCCTTAATCCAAAGTAGATTAAATTTATTTTTTTCTCTACATTCTACACACAATACCCCATAATAACAATGTAAAAAAATATTTTTTCAAACTGTTGCAAATTTATTTAAAAATTTTAAACTTGAAAAATCACAAGTACATTAGTATTCACAGCCTTTGCTCAATACTTTGTTAATGCACCTTTAGCAGCAATTACAGCCTCAAGTCTTTTTGAATATGATACCACAAGCTTGGCACACATGTCTCTGGGAATTTTTGCCCATTCCTCTTTGCAGTACTCAAGCTCTATCAGGTTGGATAGGAAGCGACTATTTATAGCCATTTTCAGATCTCTCCAGAGATGTTCAATAAAATTTAAGTTTGGGCTCTGACTGGGCCACTCAAGGACATTCACTAGGTTGTTGTAAAATCACTCCTTTGATATTTTGGTAGTGTGTTTTGGGTCATTGTCCTTCTGGAAGATGAACCGTCGCCACAGTCTGAGGTCAAGAGCACTCTTAGGCAGGTTTTTATTCAGGATGTTTCTGTAAATTGCTGAATTCATCTTTCCCTCTATCCTGACTAGTCTTCCAGTTCCTGCTGCTGAAAAATATCTCTACAGCATGATGCCACCACCATGCTTTACTGTAGGGATGGTATTAGCGGTGAGCGGTGCATGGTTTTCTCTCAAAGTCACTCCGAACAGTTAAATTTTAGTTTCATCAGACCAGAGAATTTTGTTTCTTATGGTCTGAGAGTCCTTCAGATGCCTTTTAGAAATTTCAGGCAGTGGCTTTCTGATAGGTGGATTGCTTCAAAGATGGTTGTCCTTCTTTAAGCTTCTCCTCTCTCCACAGAAGAAAGCTAGAGCTCAGACAGAGTGACCATCGGGTTATAGATAATCTACCTAACTAAGGCCCTTCTCCCTGATCCTTCAGCTTAGATGGCCGGCCAGCTTTAGGTAAATTCCTTGTGCTTCCAAACATCTTTCACTTACGAATGATGGAGGCCACTGTGCTGATTGGAACTTTCGGAGCAGCAGAAATTTTTCTGTAACCTTCCCCAGTCTTGTGCCTCTAGACAATCCTGTCTCTGAGGTCTACAGACAATTTCTTTGTCCTCATGCTTAATTTGTGCTTTGACATGCACTGCCAACCCTGGGACCTGACATAGACAGGTGTATGCCTTTTCAAATCATGTCTAATCAACTGAATTGACCACATGTGAACTCCAATTAAGCTGCTGAAACATCCCAAGAATGATCAGTGGAAACAGAATGTACCTGAACTTAATTTAGAGCTTCACGTCAAAGGCTGTGATCATGTTTATTTATTTTTAATAAATTTGCAACAATTTAAAAAAATCTTCTTTTTTTCACAATGTCATTATAGGGTATTATGTCGGGGTGTAACGATTTATCGTTGTTCGATTTATTGCGATGCAAAAATGTCACAATATGCATTGTGGCGTTATGACGATTTGATTACGATATGACGTCCGTTTTCTCTTATTAGTTGAGCTGTTTGCAGTGAGCTACGTTCCACCTGCTGTCGCACGTGAGTTCAGATTGCAGCAGCAGTAATGTTAGCAGACCAAGATGAGTGGTTGAAATAGAGGATGGCCCATTCTCTCAAAATCAGACGTCTGGCAACATTTCAGTTGTACAGTCATTGCTTTAGACTTGTCCGCTTTTTGACACGCATACTGGGTCAAACATCTTAAGTTTTAAAGTCTTCACAGTGATTTACATACTTTGCACAGCGACATGGATACCTACTAATGGTGTTGAAAGAGTCACATACTGTATTTATAAGGTACAATTCACCCTAAAATATCATTCTGTCTTCATATAATGATGTATTGGCGGCCGCAAAATCACACATGACGTGAGCTGACCGTGAGCTGTTACTACAGAGGGCGGACTATGATAGACGCGCGCATATGGCAAGCCGTTTTAGCATTTAAATCTTTGTTCTGACTATCCATAAATATATTTAGAGATAGCTCTAATTATATTTTGACTAGTCATAATTATAATTCGACTAGTCAGAATGACAATTAGAGATATCTGCTATTACAATTGTACTAGTACGAAATCAGATTGGAGATATCTGCAAATATATTATGACTAGTCATATTCCTCCATTGACTTCCATTGAAAAATATTTGCAGATATCTCTAAACGAGTTTTGACTAGTCACAATTGTAATTAGAGATATCTCTAAATGAATTTAATTAAATATGAATTAAATACCTGGAAATGTGGATTTTTTTTTTCGCACACATAAAAAAACGCAAGTGACCAAGCAAAGCTTTAAGCTCTTCTTGTAAATTCAATTGAATAGAACGCTTTTTTTTTGCACCTTTACTTAAATTGTTCCTTAATTTTGTCTCTGTCATTTCAATAATATTTTTAAGAAGTTTTTCTTAAATTCATATCACGATTCATATCGAATCGTGAACATTATATCGTGATACACATCGTATCGTGAGCTGAGTGTATCGTTACACCCCTAGTATTATGTGAACAATTTTGAGGAAATAAATTAATTTAATCCATTTTGGAATAAGGCTTTAACATAAAAAAATGTGGAAAAAGTAAAGCGCTATGAATACTTTCCAGATGCACTGTATACTAGGGTTAAACAATGAAACTGAAATGCCTGGTTTTAGACCACAATAGTAATAGTACTCATTAGTATGGTGTAGGGCCTTCTTTTGCAGCCAATTCATGACAGCATCAATTCATCTTAGGTATGATAGAGACAAGTCCTCCACAGTTGCCAAATGGCTTTTGAGCAATTCTTCTTGCAGAATAGTATCCAGGTCAATACATGATGCTGGAGGAAAACGTTTCTTGACTCACTCCTCCAAAACACACCAAAATGGCTCAATAACATTTAGTCTAGTGGCAGCATATATTTGAGGGAAGTTTTGTGCACGAACAGAGAAAATCAGCACATAAGCAAAGAAATTCACATGCTTGTATTACATGAATGCTATCTCAACTTGTGATACTGTGCTCACAACATTTGTCATTGAAATAACTCCATAGGTAGTTGGTAGATCTGTGTAAAAAAAAAAAAAAAAAAGGCCTGATGCCACAGCTGGAAAGGATCCTAGAGGAAACACTGCACTGTTCTGCAGAGTGGTTCGGTACTCCTTGGCAATGACACACCTACCACAAGTATTGGGTCAAGGAAATGCCACGATATTGCAACTCAAACCATCACTGATCTACCACCATGATTTACTCTGGACATGCAACATTCTGGGTGATACACTTCTTTGGGGGTCCTCCACACTGTAACTCTCTCAGATGTGAGACTCATCAAAAAACAATACATGTTTCTTATTGTCCACAGCCCAAGATATCCGCTGCTAGCACCATTGAAACTGACAATTAGCATTGGCACAAGTGATCAAAGGTTTAGCTATAACAACCCAGCCATGTTATTAATTTGGAAACAATGTTCTGTTGTTTGGGTTGCTGTTGTTTCTGCATGTAAAAAAATAAACCCCTCAAAGATATTTCCAAGGGTCAAAGAAAGTTAACAATGGGTTAACAAGTGCTTTTTAGCAAGAAAGTGAACTGAAACTAGAGTTTTCACTTTTCTGAGGTTGGGGCTTGAGTCCTCAGTAACTACGGTCCAATCCCAATTATATTTTTGTACACCTACCCCTTCACCGCCCTTAAACCGAGGGTGAAGTGGGAGGGATTGAAAATTAACCTTTTAGTTTTGAAACGGCGTTTTACAATGAAAACGATCCACGTCCACACTCGCGTTTGACCCAGTGTTTCTGAACTGCTCTCCGTCCACACCAAAACGCTGAAAACGCACATCACGTGACCACATAAACACTCTTTGGCAAGCACTGCAGCCCATCTACCCAGATGAGAGCTCTGCTAGTCGGACTTCATCAAGCATCTCCCACTGGATCTAATCTCACTATATTTATTAAACGGGATATTTCATTCATCTTGTTGTCTTTATCTAACGACATATTCCCTGACTTTGGTCATTGGAATCTATTACTTGTTCTAAGGTAACGTGTTTTGGCTGAGCGCAAGATAAGTTAATGATTAATGTAAGCACGTACATTCTGTATATTGACTGATTGCTTGCCTTTATTTCCTATAATGTATAAACTTATTGCATGTTATACTTTTATAATGGCCATTATCGATTATTAAAACTGATAATCAGCAAAATAGAGGGTATGTTTCGTATTTTCACTGAAATTGAAAGGAGGCAGTTGTTATCGGCTCCATTTTGTTATAAATATCCACACAGTGAAGATGACGCTCATATATGCAGCACGGCGCCTCAACATTTCTGCTGTCTGTTTAGTTTTTAATATTTAAATGAAAATAGGCAGTTCCTTATATCATGTTTAAATTTTATTGTTGAGAAAGTGAAACAACGTAGCCAGGATGATGTGAATGAATTTATAAAGTACACGGTTCCCTTTGAAGATTTACCCGTGTCCTCGGTATAGTCTGTTTTCCATATAAACTGAGAAGAAGAGACTGCAGCCTCCAGCTGTTGCCGAGATTTCAAAATGCAGAGATGGTGTACACATCACTTTAATATCATTCAGTAAGTTTAATTAAAAGCAATTTAGCATCAAACAACATCACAATCTCTTTAAGAGTTATATGCTCAAGTGTCCTCCTAGGCTTCAGTACATAGAACCAGTTAAACACTGTGGGGACGCTTTCCTGCTTTAGCCTATGTAACCCGGTAAGCAATAAAACACTGCAGTCCTCTATAGGTTGCAACTTTAAGGGCATCACTGCTTAAAACATATACTGGATAAGTTGGCGGTTAATTCTGCTGTGACGACCCCAGATTAATAAAGGGAATAAGCCAAAAAGAAAATGAAAGAATATATGAATTAAATAATTTTTATTTTTTATTGTTTTTAAGCATTTTAAGGCCAATAATATTAACAGGACTAAAAATTCTGACTTCAACTGTATGCATGTATGCTCATTTACAGTATGTTAAACGTACTTGTAATGAAGTAATGAGTGCTCTTTTAACCTCCATAACCAGCAAGTTCTGAAAAGGAACCAAAAACTGTGAAAACATTCCATGCGAGTTCAGAGGTTCAACTTTAATCATTCAAAGCTCTAATAACACTTTTGTGTGCCAAAAACACAAAAGTTTTTTTAAAGCTTTTTGTTTTCTTGAAGCTTTGTATGATTACAATTGAACCACTAAGGTCACATGAAATGTTTGACATTTTTTAAGTCTTTTACTGTTCTTGCTGTTTATGTAGAGTCAGCTGAACTCTTGCATTTCATCTAAAACATCTTAATTTTTGTTTCAAATATAACATGCCACAAGGGATTTGAACGACAAGGGTGAGTAATTATTAATACAATTTTCTTGTTTTTATGAACGACACATACCATAATGCTCTCTGCCATGCTGTCTGTAAGGATCCCATCTTGTTGAAGACACTGGATCAGTAGATCATCCACCACTAAATCCTGCAGCATCTTGACAGAGTTCCTCCTGAGTGCAAGTCTCTCCCATTTTGTCATCCCGCACTCTCCCAACATGATGAACTGCTGATTGTATTGATTTATTATTAACAAAATAAAATACATTTTTAAAAAAAGTTACTAAAACAATTATACCAGTTGTTTGATTATAATAGTTAAAATACTGTGTTATTTGTCATTTACTTTTGTTTCTACAAAAATGCAAAACTGGAAGTGACAGTTTTAATACTAACAATAATAAGACTGTATTGTAATGTAACGTCCGTGATGTCAAATCATTCACCAAGATCGCATATTTGCACATAGAAGTGGTCTACGTTACGTGCCTTCACGCAGAGTACCACAAGTTACAAAGTAACGTAATGTAATACATGATTCACTTTACCTGTTGTGTAACAGTCCTCTCCGTGTGAAGATTACAGTAAATGACACAATCGGGACGATGTGTGTAGGCTGATGTGATGCTGATTTGACGGAAATCCAAAATGACGAATGGCAGCTCGCACTCCAACTAGCTTAGCATGCTAATCAAAACAACAACAAAAAAACTATTATTAAAGACTTCTGGCACTAATTTAAGTATAAAATCACGGTAGTTGGTAATCTGCAGTTTAAGTCGTTGTTGCACTTTTCCAGGTCTGCTTGTCAAGCTGGCGATTTTTAAAAATAAGCAAACTAAAAATTAACAACGAGAAAACTGTCAGGTGCTAGCACTTTATATTAGCTTTGTTCTTTCCCTCGCTGAATTCATTCTTTTAAATTTAGTTTTGTCTTTCGTCTTCGCTCGGCCTACACGCAGAATGACAAAGTTTCAAGCTGAAAATTCTAAACTGAAACACGCATTTTTAAAATAGCTGACAGAACGCCGATTTCTCCCTGTACAAACTTCCGCGGGTGAGGATCGAGGCAACCAACAGGCTTTGAGTGTGTAAATAATTGACGTGAGAAACAGCCTATTACAGCCTCGTCCGCCCACAAAAGATGTGGAAGTTTTGTTTCGTCCAGTTATTTCAAACTTGAAAATTGAGTAACATCACACATTGTTCAAAATTAACATTAAATCAGATTTTGAGATTTTAATCGTTGAGCAGTTGTTTTTTATTTTGAACCCAATAATAAAACATTACTTTTAATATTTGCATCTGAAAGCAAAGTATTTACATTATTACATTTGAGCAAATTTGAGGTCCATGTGAAGGGGATTCGAATTAGCAGAACGAGAAATTATTAATTTTTAAAAATCACAAGGGATTTGTTTTGATGAGAGAAGAATGTTCTAGTCGTGCATGATCAAATTGAAAATGTTACTAATAAAATCTATTCCACTAAAGCTACTGAAGTACAGATCCTAAAGAAGGATTTTCCAGAATAGCTGCCAGTTTAACTGTTCAGAACAAACACTCACGGGCAGATATCACAAAACATAAAAACTGTTGAGGATCATCATTTATTCATTCGTTCATTTACTTTTCGGCTTAGTCCCTTTATTAGACATGGGTCGCCACAGTGGAATGAACCGGCAACTTATTCAGCATATTTTATGCAGTGGATGCCCTTCCGGCTGCAAACCATTATTGGGAAACACCCATACACTCTTGCATTCACATGTACACTACGACTAATTTATTCATAAATTTTTTTCAGCTTAGGCCCTTTGTTAATTAGGGGTCACTACAGCGGAATGAACCGCCAACTTATCAAGCATTTGTTTAACACAGCGGATGCCCTTTCATACAACCCAACACTGGGAAACACCTATACATACTCATTCACAGACTATGATCAACTTAGCTTATTCAATTTACCTATAGCGCATGTCTTTGGACTGTGGGGAAATATATAAATAAAAAAATTATAATCAATAAATAAATAAAATATAGATATGTGAATTTAATTAAACAGCATATGACTATGATAATAAAGACCATATTTATTTTAAAATGTGATTTGAAATTGAAAGCTGCATAGCATTCATTAATATCAAAAATCCATTTCCAGGGCCCTTTTAAAGTCATAACTAATCTCTGAATAAGACTTATTATTTTTTTAGAATTTATTTTATCCCTGACCTTAAACTAAACTTGCTGCAGTCTGTAAAATAATAGCATATGTTTTAATGAATTTAGGCTTCCATACAGTTTCATAGCTTTTGTATTTATTTATTTTGACATTAGTTTTAGAATTTTTTTAATAAGTCTATGTTCTGTGACCAATGTTACTGTTTGTATTCAAACATTCTTGACAATAACAAAAAATTTTTTTTTTAAATTGCTACTAATAAATCACATCTTAAAAATGTGTAGTAATTACAATTACAAATAATAATGCAAATTAGCAATATTATAGGACTCTCGACTGTTAAAACTTCAAACTACATACACAAATCGGTAATCAAACAGTTTATTTATAATACTTCCTTTTAATAACAAAGCACACAAAATATATTTCACACTAAATTAAAAAAAAAAATGAAAACGGCAAAGAACAGAAAAACTCACCTATTTTCCCAGCCCTGTTTCTCATTAAAAGCCAAATGCATACCTTTCTGCTAATAATATGGTCTCTTTAATTAAAGTATGATACTTTGGAAGTGCTTTTAAGGAGCCTCTAACTCACTTGTATACAGTACTCAAACTAAAACTTCTATGAAACACCAAGTATGGGTTAGCCTTATATTTATTAACTTTTTCTGATGTTGTAAGGCTTTTTGTGTTTACCTCAAATTTAAGAATATCATTCATGGTGTCAGTTCCACATAAATGACATATTTAAGTTGTTTTTTTTTCGAGAATAGTACAATGTACAAATCATCCTAAAATCAAGTTGACAGCTTCAGTGCATTGGAACACACAACAATTAAAACCATAAAAACAGATCCCACAACCATTTGTCAATATCAACAAGGCAAACTTCAGAAAACTAACTAAACAAAAACAATTCCTTTTACATTTCATTCCTGTTATTTCAAAGACTGTATATCTGTTATAAGTTATGTAGCAAAATTGTTATGAAGCTCAATTTTCTTTTGATTATACTTATTAACAGCATTTATGATAGAAATTTATTATTGATAACATCATTCAGAAACATTTTATAAAGAGTGTAACAGGCTGAAGAGGTAGGCCTCACCATGTCCTCATAACACAATATTCCACAACAAATATTTGGAATGTTAATGTAAGCATTTAAGTTATTTTTAATTGATTTCTGGAAAATTATAGAAAAAAAATAATAATGAATTTGATTAGTAGACCATAAGCTTAAAAGCATCATTCCCATTTTATCAAACATGGGTCATACTACAAATAAAACTCAACCATTCTAATGAAATTAACCACTTCATACCAAACTACATCTGTCACAGTCAAGCAGCATTGAGATTGTTTACTTTCTATATGAGTGACAGGAAAACATGGGCGGTGTTGCACTTTTATGATGATGGCAACTTGTCATAAATAATCAAATTATCAAAAATAATTGTGGCTCTTTGGATTTTAGAAAGTAATTTAGCAAACCTATACATTTAACCAAGCCCAAATCGACATGGATAAATAAAGAATAAGTGCCACTGGGAAGCTAAAAACTTGTTATAAACAAGGAACACGCCTGCTCAACATTTGAATATTTCTTATTTGGTTCCAAAATAGTAATAACTGTTCAGCCTCTTCTCGTTGATTATCATGATGTGGTCACATGGGAAGTAAATGGTCATCTCTTTCCTCTGGCTCTTCCCCAAGTGGTTCAGTACCCACTCCTCTATACGTGGGTGGTTCTTCTCTGTTACCACGAGAACGGCAAACAAAATCACACCCATCCTAATAAAAAAAAAAAAGACTTGGTTTATAAAGAGAGTGGATGAGTGAAACAGGAGATAGTAGTGAGACGTTCATTTGTAATCGCACATACAGCAGATAAATTGCCAATCTCTGACCAAAAGGCAAAGTTAGGGAATTGTTCAACTCCTTTGGCTCCAACTACCAGTCGCTGATAGAGGAATCCACCAATAATATACACAGTCAGGGAGGAGATTACACTTAAAATAGAAAAGAGAAAGATTGTTACATTTAAATTAAGAGCAAAAAACATTGTCACATTATTGCAATAATTGTAATGATGTGACAATCTCTAATGAGTTTTAAAGCACTTACACTATTAGGACTATGGAGCCAGCACTGAGTTTGGATGAGACTGCAGGACAGACTGCAGTGGTGTCCAGCTCAAACAGGTAATAACAATTTTTTTGCTTCTGATTTTCCTCCATAACCACTGAAAATGCACTCTAACAAAAAAACAACAACAACAACAAAGAATTTAGCAATAATGCTCAAGTCATAAGATCATTCCACTTACTGCCAGGGTAAAAGCTATTGTACTTTGCATTGTACACTTGACATAACTGTCCAAATACTATATTGCTAAATAATTTGTGACACTCCTCCAAATCGTTGAATTCCACAGTGGTATACAATTAAGCACATTGGCATGCAGATTGCTTCTACAAAAAGTATTTTAAAAGGTCACTCTCAGGATTTCAGTAAATTTAACCATGGTACCATGATAGATTACAATTGTGCATTAAAGCCTTTTCACAGTTGCGGGTTGCTCAGCACAGTGGACATCATCAGAGTTGGGCAAAAGTAGAGAGCAGTGAATGGCTAAGTATCACAAATAGATTTTTTGTTTACATTCTAATTTGCTCAAATAGCAATAGAAAAATTACATGATTGTGTTCTCACAACTTTCAAAAAAGGAACAGCCAAAAGAGAACAAACGTCAATTGATTCAATGCTCCTGCTTCCACTTCTCATTCTAACGGAGAGTGTGATTCGTTGGTGAATGAATCCCGGTAATAAACCTCTCGTTCACTTAGCCAACAATAGCAATAGCCAACATTTCATTTATATTGTTTGCTTATTTTATTCAATTAAACTAGCATAAGCCTAGTATTTAGTGTGAGTTGCTGCTACTTTGCCTTATGGTCAAGTATCATCAAAACTTATTTAGCACAAACGTATGTAACATACAAAAACGTAAAAAACTAAATCTTAGCTATGAAATGTTCTGCCTTTTTTGGTTTGTTTTCTTTGTTTACTTGTTACTACATCTGTACACAGAGCTAAAGTCTAGCATCTTCACCTTGGCTTTATTCTTGACTAGTGTGGTTAAATGACATTTGTCCGGGGGAGCACTGAACAAATGTGGCGGCGCTACTGAAGCATGCTAAGGGCCCTGTATGTAAATGTGTATGTGTACTTGAGTTGATCATTGTCAGTTTTCTGTTGTTCAGCTGCAAGAAATAGAAGCTGTTTCTAAGATATAAATGTCTCTTTTTAATATGGAAAATATTCCTATTATCGCGTGCAGTTAGTTTTTATTTAGAACACAATTTAAACCAGCCTTTAGGCTCAACAGTCAAGCACACTGGTGTTGGTGTAGAATTGAACTAGCTTTTTTTTTTTTATAAAGTCATGCTTTTTTGTTGTGCGCCCATCTATATACATAAAAGCAACACTTAAGTTTCAAAAGATGACTCATAAAACCAAAACCAGAATAATATGCAGAGACACTCATAAATTTATAGGGCTGGTTTAAATACCATTTTTGAGCTTTGAAGCTTTGTAGTAACCATTCATTCATTTTCTTTTTGGCTTAGTCCCTTTATTAATCAGGGGTCGCCACATCGGATAAACCACCAACTTATCCAGCACATATTTTACACAGCGGATGCCCTTCCAGCTGCAATCCATCTCAGGGAAGCATCCATACACACTCATTCACACTCATACACTATGGACAATTTAGCCTACCCAATTCACCTGTACCTTCATGTGTTCCATTTTTTGTGCAATATGGACACATTTAGAATGAATAAATATTTAATGAACTGCAGAACAGCGTGAGCCAGAAGGGCTTGTATGATTTGCGAATGGACACCGCACTAATGATACATGGCCACAGGTCTGTCAATACTTTTAATAAAGCAGCCTAACACTTAGCAAACAAATCACTTCCAAATCAGAAAAAGCAGTCAAGTAATTAACTCTCTGACTCTGGAAACAACATGTTGTTTAAATAAAACAAAAATGAAAATAATAGTTCAACAACCTGTAGTAAATAAACAATTTTAATAAAAGAATCACAGGAGAGTTTAAATAAAAATGAATGGATTACCTTATATCAGTGGTTCCCAACCTTTTGCTTCGAGGCCCCCCCCATGAACATATACAAACATTGGAGCCCCCCCACCATATAAATACACACGCACGCACGCACACACACACACACATATATACTGTGTATGTATATATACTGTATGTGTGTGTTTGTGTAATATTAATATATAATATGTATAGAAAATATAAATTACTCAGTTTTAACTTGTCTTGGCCTTCAATAAAACCAAAATTTAGGTATATAGGCTTTGTCATACTGTCTAATCTTTTTCTTCGCCTCTGAAGAATCACTGCATTTACGTTTCTCTGCCATTTTTGTTTTGATTTTGCCCTTACGACACGTTGGACAAGCACATTGCGCGAGTGAGCAAAATTTAAATAATTATTTAAAGTTATTTATTTTAATTATTTTTACTATTATGTTGGAATTTTAAGCATGTTTTGATTTTTTTTTTGGTACTTAAAAATACATGTATAATAGTAGGGCTGCTCAATGGAAAAAAAGGCTGATAAAAACACCCTGATGGGCATACATTTTGAAAATGCGCATAAAAAAACTTATGCGCATAACTTAATAGGATAAACTTTTTAATCGGTAAGAAAAAATGCACATAAACTACAATGGAAACACTTTTACCACACAAATTTCAGTATGCGCATTAAAAAAGGTCATGGGATATTGTGATAAGAGATCATGTGATGATGAAAATGTGTGTGAATGGACAACCCAGCAGGCTGAGCACACTGTAAAACATCTGAAATGTTAATTTGGTCATTTGAAAATTCCTTACAATTTATCATTAGTGTTATTATATTATTAATGACCTCCAGAATCAAGAGCGTCTGTGCTCCGCGTCTGATACCTTCAAACGCAACCACGTGTTCACTGCTTGTCAGGATTGCCTTCGAGTTGCAAATTATTTTTTAGATAAAGAAAAGATTGACGCAGCTTCTTCTACTGCTACAAATTCCATTTTTACAGTTAAAATTTGGCACCAGTCAATCAGGAAGTGATGATTTTGTTCGCTTTGACTAGTTGGATGGAAACGCTGCTTTATTTATATGTTTTTTATGCAAAAATCTAGTTTTGCGCATTAAGTTCATTTGCATTTCTGGATGGAAACATAACTAATGTTTCCAGCTTTTGAGAAAATGTGCTTATCGTGCTGTTATTGAGCCCTCCGACTGAAAAGCAAAGGAGGTATTTGGCTGCTAATAACAGTTTAGGGCTTTTACTATGGAAGTGTGGACCCACACCACTGGTATATTCTTTATTTGTGTCTTTTATGTGTGTTTTTAAGTGCATGTAATTTAATCCATTCTGCAGGGGATGCCAGGTATTCCAAAAGAATTAAGTAAAAGAATATTCAAATCTCAAAATTGAAAATCGAATGTCAACTTACAAAATGAACATTGGAAAAATGTAATATTCTGGTCCAGCCTTACATATTCCAGCAAGCATTTAACTGCATTTCAGCATTCAATCTGTACCATTTAAAAACTTAAAAAGTTTGTACCTTAGAACTTGAGCTGCATGAAATCATAATCATGGCTTTTCTCTCCTCACTGGAACAATGGCTGTCATATTTTTCCCCACCCTCATAGATGAGCAGAACCCAGTCACCTGTATCATAAAACCAAATAGGTACACTTAGGTCAACAATCTGTTAACAATGCACCCTGTGCAAATGCAACAGCTTCTGTAATATAAAGAAACATTTGTGTACTGCAATATTTTATTCCAACTCCTACTATGTAAATAATGTAAGAAAAATCATGTAAGCCACAGTAGAATCTTTCAGCAGTCATTATTATAAAGAAGAACTGATATAATCTACTAATAAATTAACTTATCATTTTATCAGCTATAATTTATTTTAAGAATGTTTATGATGAAAGCAAAAAAACAAAGATTTTTTTTTCTGAAAGACTAGAAGTATAACATACTTCCTGCAGTGGCAACTGTTTTACTGTAGTCCCCAATTCGAATCGTCTTTCCACCTTTTTCTTGCTGAATAAGACCTGCATTCTTTACTCCGCCAGCATCACCACACACCTGAAAAATGTATGAATATTTTTCTTTCTCCTGTCCCTCTGTGGTAAAGCTGTTCAGAGCATATACAAAAAAAGTTAAAAACTAGTTAGGTAGTTGTTGCAGTAAACTGCTAACTTTAATGTGGGCTTAATTCACAAAAATCAGGCTTACTTTTGATTGGTGAGAGGCTCCAGTAAACGGAGTGCTTTTCTCTGAGATTCACTGTCTGACACAAGCTTGCAGTTGCTCGTGTTGAACCTAGCTTGCACTCCAGCAAATAGTACGAAAAGTGGAGTGATTATTCTCACAGACAGCAACATGACTTTTAGAGAACACACCTGATGGAAAAAGGGGATCACATTAAATAAATAGTACTGTAAATGCACAGTATTTCTTTGGTAAGTGATTATTTGAGTCACACTGTACACAAACTGTGTACTTTAATATAGTAAATTCAGTCATGTCTCATATCTTGCGCATTTCAATTTATAGTATTTAAATTGCATAACGTTACATCTTAAATTTGGTTCGGATCATGCGTGTTCTACGTGTTATACCGTGAAATTAGTTTGATCAAGTGAAATTGCCTTAACTGGGCATGTTTACAGATTCTTGCATAACTACAAATGCCTTACTGTAATGGCAACAGAGCAACGCCGTACTGGTAACGTTGTGATACTAACAATGTTAGCAAAAAGGCAATAAAAGTTGCAATAAATTAAAGCAATGAAGCAAATGACAATGAAGCACTTTAGTTAGGAAACCAGTAATTTGTGTTTTTGCGAAAGTAGTTTAGCTATAATTAAACACAAACACACATATAATAAGTCCTATTACCGTTTTGAATGAAGGAAAGTGAAGGTCTTAACTTGTATAACGTTAACGTTAGATTTGTCTTCCCAGCCTGGAGATCTTCCTATTTCAAAACTATCGCACTAACTTACCGTCTTTAAACTAGACTAATCGGCATTACGTCAAAATATCTTCTGCTGTCAACTTTTACAAACCAAATAAACAAACTTATGAATATTCACTCTAAAACAATTGCACGATAACAGAATTTAATGGTTTCTTCTTAAACGCGGAAGTGAAACTAAACATGCACATGTGACTGTGCATGAGGCGGAAGTTGGTTTGCTGCACGTTAACATGGGAAATTGAGTGCTGGTCAGGCAATAACACGAGTTCTACCCCCCTTGCGAGCAACGTTGAGTAAATTACTTCAAAAAAGTAAGTAATGACTAACTATATTATTGAATTGTTTTCAAATAATGTACTTTTCTAATTACTAGTTCTGGAAAGCAATTAATTTACTCAATAAGTTATTTAATTACCGTAATGAAAGCTTTTAATGCACAGGCAATTTAAATTACACTCCTTCAGTCAATTGAGTCAAACATTCATTTATTCATTTTCTTTTTGGCTTAGTCCCTTTATTAAGCTGGGATCACCATAGTAGTAGGAACCGCAAACCTATCCAGCATATGTTTTATGCAGCGGATGCCCTTCCAGCTGCAACCCATCACTGGGAAACACCCATACAGTTATTCACACACATTGCCTACAGTCATGGGCGTGGTAGTGGGGGGAGGGGGGGGGGGGGGGGGGGGGAGTGGACCTGACTACCCAAGTCCCCGTCTAGGGAGAGGGCCCTTTGAAATCCCACCAATTTTTTATTATTATTTTTTTTTTTTGTAGCCTACTTCGAATTAATTGGCCCCTCTAATTGATGTCAATGTCATCATATTTCAAAATATATTGATAACACCCCCCCACCGGAAATGGTTTAGTCCGCCCATAGACGGCAGCCGGCGGCAAAAGTTACGCAGTGAGTCTAGAGCCTGATCATGCTGCGCAAAAAGCCCAAATCGGGATTTCAAAAAAAGAAAGACAGGAAGGAAAAAGAAAGGAGGCAGAATGAGGGGAAGCAGCTGATGACTGCTTTCTTTTCAAAAGGTGAACTGAGTTTGCTTGTTATGAAACTACATCTAATTAAAGTTAACATAGTCAACTCCAGACAGCTGCTGCTAATGCAGGGCTCGAAATTACGACCATTTTGGTCGCATATAATACTGATTTGTGTACAGTCATTACTAGGGAAACCGTAATATTTCAGCGCTCCTAAAGCGCCCCCTTGTGACAGAATGAATTTTTATTTCCAATAAATTTTTTCAGCTGTTTATGGTCAAATTATTGCAATTATCGATCCATGTGTAAATGTGAAAGAAGTTAATGTGCCTTTTAAAAATCTAAACAATTAAGTAATACTAATATAAGAAATTATATACTTGATTTATCCATTTTAATGGTATAAAGGTTGAAATGCCATTGTATTAGATATTTTGTGTCTGTATACGTCTGCAAGATGTCTGTTAAAGATCTCTTGATCTGGAAAGCACCTGCTGTATACAAACGTCTGGCAGACGTCTGTATGATGTCAGTTTTACACACATTCTGAATCACAAACATCTTAAAAATGTCTAATAGAAGTCTATTTCACATCTGATAGGAAACGTCTTGTAGATGTCTTGCAGATGTGAATGCAGACGTCAAATAGACATCTCCGAGATATACGTGTGCTAATCAAAATGGGCCATTAAGAATCAAGATTGGCGCATAACTAAAAAGAAAATGGGTGCTCCTAAATTTTTTGGGATGCTCCTAACTTTTTGAAGTTGGGAGCACAGTGCTACCAAGTAAAAAAGTTAATTTCGAGCCCTGTAATGTATGTATGTTATGTTAAATGTATGTATGTATGTAATGTAATGTATGTATGTAATGTTAAATTTTTAGCTTAGTTTGTCAACCAGGCTGCTTGTTGCTGTAAGTAAATTATGGGCCAGGCCAGCTAACGTCAGGTTGCCAACATTAACCAGTTTCAGAAACAACCAGTGGTTCTGACACACCAGCAGTAGCAGCACTCAATGGTGGTGAATGAAAGAACCAGTCATTATTATAATCTGATTTGATTAAAAATTAAAACACTTTTTGTGCATGTTTATATTCAAATAATAAAAAAAAAATGTGTAGGGGGCCCACTGACATTGAGAGGGTACAAACCCAGAATTTGGTGCTACGCCCTTGCCTACAGTCAATTTTAGCATACCCAATTCACCTATGAAAAATACAATACTAAAAATAAAATACAATTACTGTTCTGAATTCATTACACATTATCATTAACTATTTCTATTTTTTGTTCTCAGTGCAGTCAATAGAAATCAAAATTCTTCTAATTTTATATGCATATAGAAGTGCTTGATATAAACAATTTATCTGCACTTAACTATTTAGTTAACATTAATTTCACCCTCATAACCTGTAATTGTATACCATAACCTTCCCTCTCCCTTGAAATGACTTTTCTTCAGTTCTGGTAACATGGAATGCCTTTAGGGCAGGTCTGTCAGTGCGTGCACAGGCTTTATATAATAGATAGCTAGACGCACCATGAGCCACTGTATGGTACATCAATGTCTCCATCTTAATCCGGTCACCTAGCCTTAAATTGCTGTTGTATCTCTTACCAAGATTGGGTAAAACACCTGAATTGTTTGCTTATTGGGGCTGTTTAAATCATCACAAATTAAACTCATCTCTGGTAATTACAGTTCACAGGTAAGAATGTTTTTACCCCTGTTTTTAGTGATAATAATAACACTTAAAAATCAAAAGATATAAGCAAGCTTTAAAAGCCTTTTGCAAATTTAAAAAGTAACATCAGCTTACCTTTATTATATATTTTAGCTTTTTTAGCCCCCCTGTTTATTTAGCCCCCCTGTTTATTTTTTCCCCAATTTAAGTTTAATAAAGATATTTTTCAACACATTTCTAAACATAATAGTTTTAATAACTCATTTCTTATAACTGATTTATCTTTTACAACTGATTCATTGATGTGTTATCATATTATATTGTATAACATGGGTTCGTTTTCTTCGCTGCCCACTAGATGACGCTCTTGTCTTGAGGTCACTTGTTCCCTCCAATGACTGTAAAAAATACCCTCATGTGCGCAGGTCGGTGTGCAATACAGGTTCGTCGCGTTGCCGGTAATGTCTAGTGAGTGCGTGATAAAAGGATCCCTCTTCTGTTCCATCAAGAGTTCCATCAAGTTTTTGGCTTGACTTGGGCTTCTTCTGCACCAGAATTTTTGTTTGTTTGTTTGTAAGATTATTTATTTTGAATTTGATGCTTGATTAAATTGCTTTATTAAATTCACATTTTTTAATTATTTGATTGTCAGCATGGACTCTTGTTTATGTTGCAGACTGTCTAGAGCCGGGCAATTTTTAACATATGGGGGCTCGTCTGGGGGAGGGGGGGGGACTGTTAAAAAGACCAGTAATTCAGTTTAGAACTTTTCCAACTGCTTACACACATTTTTTAAACAGCGCCATTATTTTAATAATAATAATAATAATACATTTTATTAATATTGCGCTTTTCTCAGACTCAAATCGCTAACAAAATCATCAAAACAAAAACGATCATGAAGTACACAACATGTAAGAGTGATAATAATGATTTAAAAATACATATTAAAAGAAAGCCTCATAAGTTATAAGCAATAATAAAAGATGAGTTTCAAAAAAATTTCTTAAAACAGTCCAGGAAACTGGCGTTCCTGATATTTGTGAGAAGAGCATTCCACAATTTAATTGCAGGATAAGAGAATGCCCTATCTCCCATGGTGCTAAGTTTGCAACGGGGCTGAAACAAGGTGAGCCCCGAAGCAGAACATAGATTGCAAGAGGAAGAGGAGGTAGATATCAGGTCATATGAAATCAGGAGCAGAACCATGAACAGCTTTATAATTTAAAATCAAGGTTTTAAAATCGATGCGTGACTTAACAGGCAACCAGTGTAACTGCTGAAGTACAGGGGTAATGTGAGAGCGAGATGATGTGTGGGTTAACACATGTGCGGCTGAGTTTTGAACATATTGTAAGATCTTATGTGAATTGGCTGGCAGACCCCCAAATAAAGAGTTCCAAAAATCTAAACGAGAAGTAATAAAAGCATGGACTAGCTTTTCAGCATCTGGTGTTGAGAGAAAAGGACGGATGCGGGCAATGTTGCGTTAGTGATAAACTGCGGTTTTTGTTAACTGTTTAAAATGAGGTTTCAGGCTTAGCTGAGCATCAAAGAGGACACCAGGATTACACACCTGCATAGAAGAAGTTAAAAGAAAAACATCAACTGTTAACTTGAGATTGCCACATCTATTAACATTAGAGGGTGTGCCAATAAGTAAAATCTCAGTCTTGGAGCTGTTTAATTTGAGATAGTTTTGTTGCAAAACAGGCTTTAATCTCTACGAAGCAGGCGTTAAGTGTTGACAGTGAGGCAGATAGATTAGGAGATGTCCTAAAATAAGTCTGTTTGTCGTCAGCATAGCAATGATAAATCATGCCATAGTTTTGTAATATTTTTCCAAGAGGTAGCATATAAATGCTAAACAAAAGTGGCCCGAGTACCGAACCGCGATCTATGACCTCCCAAATAAATGAATTGCGAGCGTTAAATGAACTGCGAGCATTCAGTGAGGTAGGATATAAACTAACTTAGTGCTGTCCCAGCTAGGCCAACCCAGTTTCGAAGTCTGTCCAATAGTAAGCTGTGAGAGATCGTGTCAAATGCTGCAGTTAGATCCAAGAGCACCAGAATACCAAAAGTCCCTGAGTCAGCAATCATTACTGACCTTTACTAAGGCGTTTTCCACAAATAAAGCCTCAAGGGGGTTTTGTAGTTGACCGGCAACCACACGCTCAAGAACTCTCGCTAAAAAGGTCAATTAGAAATGGGCAGATAGTTTGATAAATTAGTGGAGTCACAGCCAGGTTTTTTAAGGATTGGCGTAACAGCAGCAGTCTTCAGCACGGTTTCTATTGACCCCGTACTGAGTGAGGCATTCACAATAGCTGTTATATGGTGCACAAATAGTGATAAACAGTTTTTTAAAACGGAGTTTGGAAAGGGATATAGTATGCAGAATGATAAATTCATTGACATAACAGTCTTTGCAATAAGAGTATCATTAACAGCATTAAAAGATGAGAGTCTCAGAGC